CAGTTGACAGCTGGTTACATTGTTTGCATGGACTGTGGACTGTGTCTATTTGAATGAATGCTGTAAAGTTAGGTCTTCCTCCAGTTTGAAGCATTGCTTTGTGGGTAGAGGAATGTGAGGGAGGAGGGGACGGGAATGAATGGGTGGAACTTACCTGGAGCTGAGTAAACTCACCGTGTTTACTTACCAGGCTGGGTTTCAGCTGCAAGGGCACTCAATGCCAGCAAAGGCACCAGGATCGCAGGGTGTGGGCAGCCTGGGGTACTGGGCTGAGGAGTCACTGGTCTTCAGAAGAGAAGCCGCCAGCGGTTACGTATGTCCTAATATTACCTGCCATTTAATACCACTTTTAGCTGAAACCAATCCTAAACTATAGTTAGGAGAGCACATGGACTCTCAAGTAGATGGTTGCAGTTCAGAGTTCAGGATTACTTTCAGGGCCAGATTCGTTTAATTAACGAGGAGTTCAAACTAGGAGTCACAGGCCCTAGCTCCACTGGAGTCCTGGTCCTTTGAGACTCTGTGTGCTGTTTGGTGAGTTATTGCTCTCTCTGGGCTTCAAGTAGGGGCTTTGTCAAACAAAAGGATTGACTGGCCTAGTGACTTTCACATTACTTCTCAGAGCCCAGGCTTCCTTGGATTGCCCCCAGGGCCCTCCGCTCCAGCTCCGTCAGAACACCTCCACTTTCGCCTGCTTCGCTTAGCCAGCCGGACAACTTCATTTTTTTTTTTTTTTTTTTTTGAGATGGAGTTTCACTCTTGTCGCCCAGGCTGGAGTGCAATGGCATGATCTTGGCTCACCAAAACCTCCACCTCCCGGGTTCAAGCGATTCTCCTGCCTCAGCCTCCCAAGTAGCTGGGATTACAGGCACCTGCCACCACACCTAGCTAAATTTTTTTGTATTTTTAGTAGAGACGGGGTTTCTCCATATTGGTGAGGCTAGTCTCGATCTCCCGATCTCAGGTGATCCACCCGCCTCGGCCTCCCAAAGTGCTCTTCAATTCTCGCTCTCTCAAAACTTACACATCCATGTCACATTTCTGCAAGCTCCTGCTTTTTGCTAGCTGTTAAGGATTAAAGCAATTCAAATGATTTAGGGGTAGTCACGATTGATATCCATCCAGTGACTTTTTTATTGAGTAAGCAAGGCGATTTATATTAATAGATGTGTTCCTCATCCAACATTGTCCTAGTCTAGTACTTGTACCGTGAACTTTTTTTTTTTCTTTTGAGATGGAGTTTCACTCTTGCCTCCCAGACTGGAGGGCAGTGGTGCGATCTCAGCTCACTGCAACCTCCACCTCCTAGGTTCAAGCGATTCTCCTGCCTCAGCCTCCTGACTAGTTGGGATTACAGGTGCGCACCACCACACCCAGCTGATTTTTGTATTTTTTGTAGAGATGGGGTTTAACCATTTTGGCCAAGCTGGTCCTCAACTCCTGACCTCACGTGACCCACCCACCTCGGCCTCCCAAAGTGCTGGGATTACAGATATGAGCCACCGTGCCCAGGCTGTTTTATTCTTATTCTTTATTTCCTCCGGTATTTTTATATTAACATCTTAAGCATAATGCAATGTTGAAATAACTTTACAGGTCAGGCACGATGGTTTATACCTGTAATCTTAGCACTTTGGGAGGCTAAGACAGGAGGATCACTTGAACCCAGGGGTTCGAGGCTCCAGTGAGCTGTGATCATGTCACTGCACTCCAGCCTGGGCCACAAAACTAGATCCTGTCTCTTAAAAAAAAAAAATTATAGTGAACACCTGTTTTACCACCTGGATTCTGGTGTGGACAGTCTACCATATTCATTGTATCCCATGTCTATCCATCTTTCTGTTCTTCTATCTGACCTTCAATTCATCTCACTTTTTTGAAGCATCTTTAAGTCATATATCAACACACCTTCTAAATATTTTAGTATGCGTATTAACTAGAGTTCCGTATTTTTTGTGTGTAAAATTTACACACAATGAGATGCACCAATCTTAAGTCTGCATTGTCTTAGGTTTGAAAAGTGCTTAGCCCCTATGTAACCCAAGCCCCATCAAGATAGATATTGTTACCATCGCTTCCAGAAGACCCCCTCACACACCTTTGGAGTCACTCCCTGGCCCCACCCACCCTCAGAGGCAACTACTGCTGTGAATTGTTTCCCAGCACGCATTAGTTTTAGCTGTTCCAGAACCTGATTTTGTGTCCACAATCGGTGGGTTCTTGGTCTCACTGACTTCAAGAATGAAGCCACAGACCCTCACAGTGAGTGTTACGGTTCTTAAAGATGGTGTGTCTGGAGTTTGTTCCTTCTGATGTTCGGACGTCTTTAGAGTTTTTTCCTTCTGGTGGGTTAGTGGTCTCTCTGGCTTCAGGAGCGAAGCAGCAAACCTTAGCAGTGAGTGTTACAGCTCTTAAAGGCAGTGCGTCTGGAGTTGTTTGTTCCTCCTGGTGGGTTCATGGTCTTGCTGGCTTCAGGAGTGAAGCTGCAGACCTTTGCTATGAGTATTACAGCTCATAAAGGTAGTGCAGCCCCCAAAGAGTGAGCAGCAGCAAGACTTATTGCAAAGAGCAAAAGAACAAAACCTCCACAGCATGGATGGGGACCCAAGCAGGTTGCCACTACTGGCCCAGGCAGCCTGCTTTTATTCCGTTACGTGACCCAACCCACATCCTGCTGATTGGTTCATTTTACAGAGAGCTGATTGGTCTATTTTTGACAGCGTGCTGATTGGTGCATTTACAATCCCTGAGCTAGACACAGAGTGCTGATTGGTGCATTTACAATGCGTTAGCTAGACACAGAGTGTTAGACGGAAAAGTTCTCCAAATCCCCACTAGGGTAGCTAGACATAGGGTGCTGACTGGTGTATTTACAATGCCTTAGCTAGACCTAAAGGTTCTCCAGGTCCCCACTAGACCCAGGAGCCCAGCTGGCTTCACCTAGTGGATCCCGCACCAGGGCTGCAGGCGGAGCTGCCTGCCAGTCGCGCTCCCTGCGCCGGCACTCCTCAGCCCTTGGGCTGTTGATGGGACCCGGAGCCGCGGCGCAGGGGGCGGCGCTCTTCGGGGAGGGGCAGAGGAGGGGAGGGTCAGGCATGGCGGGCTGCGGGTCCGGAGCGCTGCCCGGCAGGGAGGGAGCTGAGGCCCTGCGAGCATTCGAGCGCAGCGCTGGCGGGCCGGCACTGCTGGGGGACCCGAGGCACCCTCTGCAGCTGCTGGCCCGGGTGCTAAGCCGCTCACTGCCCCGGGCCTGCAGCTGGCCGCTCGGAGTGCTGGGTCTGCCGATCCCACGCCCTCCCGGACCGGCGCTGGCCCGCGAGCACCGCGCGCAGCCGCGGTTCCCGCCCGTGCCTCTCCCTCCGCACCGCCCTACAAGCAGAGGGAGCCGGCTTCGGCCTGGACTAGCCCAGAGGGGGGCTCCCACCGTGCTGTGGTGGGCTGAAGGGCTCCTCAAGCTCCGCCAGGGTGGACTCTGAGGCCGAGGAGGCGCCGAGAGCGAGGGCTGCTAGCCTGTTATCACCTCTCAATTTGAAGGGACTCACATAGGAGGTACTCATTTGTGTAAGGCTTCTTTAACTCAGCGTGCTTTGGTGACTCACCCATGCTTTTGCTTGCATCAGTAGTTCATTCCTTTTTATGGGTAAGTTGTATTTCATTGTATGGGTATACTGCAGGCATTTTTAAAAATTCTCATTAATGGACATTTAGTCTGTTTCCAATTTTTGTCCATTATAAATGAAGTTACTATGTCCCATATCACAGAATTTAATGTATCATTCTTTGAGGGGGGGCTTATATTTTGATATTTGCCTTTAAAGATTAATATTTATTGTTCTGATTATAAAAGTAATAGATGCATATTGTAGAAAAATACATCAAACTCTCAGGTGTCTTATATAAGGACACTAATTTTAAAATCCTACTGGGCGTGGTGGCTCATGCCTGTAATCCCAGCACTTTGGGAGGCTGAGGCAGGTGGATCACTTGAGATCAGAAGTTCGAGACCAGCCTGACCAACATGGTGAGACCCCCGTCTCTACTAAAAAAACAAAATTAGCCAGGCGTGGTGGTGGGCGCCTGTAATCCCAGCTACTCAGGAGGCCGAGGCAGGAGAATCACTTGAACCCAGGAGGCAGAGGTTGCAGTGAGCCAGGTTCATGCCACTGCACTACAGCCTGGGCAATAAGAGTGAAAATCCATCTCAAAAAAAAGAAAATCCTGTTGGGTGAGTGCCTTACCCTCATGACGTCATTGAACCTTAATTATCTTCTGAAGACCCTATCTCCGGATGTAGTCAATTGCGGGTTAGGGCTTCAACGTATGAATTTGGGGGACACACAGTTCAGCCCACAGCAACATGGTTCTACCCAAAGACTTGTACATCGGCACTGAGCCAGGCGTGCCCATTGCCTGCTGGGAATTGAGCTGGGTGGCTGTGTCTGGACTTCTGCATTTCCCACTGTAGGAGTCCTTGGCAGCCCACCGGTGTGATAAGATTGTGATGGCATTGCTGTAACAATACTTTCATAGCATTTTACAAAGTTCTTTCAAGTACGAAGTCTAATTTAACCTCCCAGGGAAGTTGTGAAATAGATATTGTTGTGGTGATTTTGTGGATGAGAAAAATGAGGCACTGTTAAGTGTCTGGCCCAGAGTTCCATAGTCAATCAGTGGTAAAAGAAATCCCTGTCCTCTAACCCTGTAGACAGCCATGAGATATTTCCATTAAGGTACTCGCAGATTTCTTTCCCACGTCCAGGCTTTCAGCATTCAAGGTTTATCTAGAAGGCTTTGCGATTTCCATTGCCTGTAAACTGAGGCAGCCAGGCCCAGTGCGTTGCAAATGCATGAAAGATCACCTCATAAGCAAAGTTAGGTAGACGTATTCCTCATAAAGGAGCTGACCTAGTGGACAGAAAGAAACCTTCCTGCGTCTAACCATGCATTGATCCATGCTTTTGAAAGTTCTGAAATTCAGCTTTTCTCATCCTGTTGGTCAGTACAACAGAGTCTGGATTCCCGATCCTGAAGAAGTTTGGAAGTCTGCTGAAATAGCCACGGACTACAGAGTTGGTGACAAGGTCCTGCGACTCCTGCTGGAGGATGGAACGGTGAGGGTCCTTGCTGTTTGCGGCTGCGTCGATGTGTAAAGTGGTAGCTGGTGTATGTGTGAGGATGGGGACACGTGGACCCCGTGGGAGGCACCCAAGGGAGGGCGCATGAGTGGGCACCAGCACCATCCCCAAACGGCACCCTGGCACCAGGACTCACTGATGTGTCTGTACTCCTTCCCTCCCTCCCCTATGCTGCCCTGCATCCACCGGGCCTCTCTCGGTGAAGAGGGCCCAGCTGCAGGAGCCAGGTCTGTGCCACGGCACTGCATTTCCAGGCACCCAGCATTACTGGGAGACTGCTGAAAAGTGATTCTCCATTTTGGCTTCCTGAGTCTCAGCCCAGAGATTGGGCAAAGATGAAAAACTTGGAGAGAAGTCGTTTGAGCCCAAGGCATACACTGGTAAAGAAAAACATCAAGATGCGAAGGGGAAGAAAATGAGAAGAGGGAGATAGAAAATAGGCAGGGAGAGGGAGGAGTGGGAGGAGACTGGAGGGAGTCGGTCCACGGATGTACAGAAATGTGTAAGGGAGGGAGTGTGGCAGGAACAAGAAGACAGGGACGCTGTCTTTGTGTGACATTATGAGGTGCCTCTGTTGGTGCTGGTGTGGTAAGGGGGAGGTGAGGATGAACTTCAGCAGTTGCTCCTGTGGTGGGATGAGCTAGTGAGGAGCTTCCCTGCAAGGCTGCGTGTGCCTTTTGATGACGCAGCTTCTGAAGACTTTGCATTTGCTCTAAGTGTCCCTCATGAGTCGTCCTTGCCCACCATTGCTGTAGTGACATTCCACTGGATTTGTAGCTAGGGTGACTGGATGGGTTTAGAATCAAGTATCTGGATAGAGACCTGGGCAGGGGATTTGTGCTCCATCTAGATCCCAGAGGTGGATCTGGGGAACATCATGTGAGGATTAATTGACAAAGCACATGAATGGGTTCTGCAGGGACAGGGCACACTACTTCTAATCAGACTGTCCTGGATTTGGGAGACATTTCCTGAGATCCTGGGAAGGCAGATGAACATAGCAGTTAAAGACACACCCCCTAGAATCAGATGATCTGGCTTCAGATCCTGGCATGGCCGCTTGTTAAGTCTTTGGCAGCAAGCCCCCAGTTTCCCCATATGTACGAAGGAGGTAATGACTGCACCATCCCAGGGTTGCTGAAGTGCGATGAGACAATCCCGTGTGCATGTGTAAAGAAAGGCAGGAGCTCTGGGAAGAGCCTCTCGCTCCCTGGGGCTTCCCTGCCCAGCAGGAGCTCTCGCAGCTTTTATTGAGTGTCTCCTGTGCACAGTCTGGGCTCCAATTAGGGATCAGGTGGCTTTGTCTGGGGAGGAAAATCTCCAGGCAGCAGCTGCGGTGTCAGTTTGCTGCTTTGGTCATGTCCGCTGGACTTCAGGTGGCTACATTCCCGGCCTTGACCCGGCTGCAGAGGCGAGTAGGATGGCGGACAGCCAGACCACTCTCTAACTCAACCCTTTGTCAATACTGTAAGAGAAAAGGCCTGTGTGCTGTAGGAAAATGTCACCTCTGCCTCCACCTGTCAACATAATGTTCGTTACATTTTCTCCCCTCCTCCAAAAGACTGTTCTTTCTGTCTTCCTGTTGCTTTCACACATAACACATGCAGAGGCCAAACCGGAAGTGGGGGTTGTGGATTTACAATAGAAAAACAGAGACAAGGAAAGTCGGTAGGTATGAGAATCATTGTTCCTGATTTTATTTTCAAAAGTGTTCAGGTTGACAATATTCTGGTCGGGGTTAGGTCACCATACACTTGCATTGGTAACAGGGGAGCAGGAGCTGACCTGAGGATCTGTGTCCAGTTGTGGATTGCCCTGAGCTGCTCGCTTTACGCAGAACAGACCAACCAGCCAGCGAAACCCCTGCCATCGACAAGGAAGCACTGTGCTAGTGAGAGAGCACAGGCTTTAGAGTGAGGCCCACATTCACTGTGTGACCTTGGACAACAGATTCCTACTTTCTGAACCTGTCTCGTTGACTTTCTTGGTTGGGGTAGTCACGTCCTCCTTGGAAGGCAGTTTTGAGGATTAAATGAAACAATCCATGCTGAGTGCTTGGCATGGGGTCTGCACAGTGGCACTTGCTAAGGGGCAGCTGGGCCACCTTGTGGAGCTGGCCCAGGACCAGAGATCAGAAGGAACCCAGAGATACTGACTGAATACCAGGAAGGCGGCGGTGGCCTGGGAAGGTAGAAGAGAAACAAGCATGCTGGGTGACCTGCTCAAGTCGCTTTAGTTGGGCTTCACGTCCCCCAGCAGTGAAACAGGAGTGTAGGAATTAGAATACTCTGACATTGGAAAGGCCCAGTCGTCTGTGGCACAGATGCCACGGGACCTGCTCGCCTCACCTTCATTCTGCTAAGGCAGCCGCTTTAGGAATACTAGGTTAAATTTAGCAGAAGAGGAGCAAGCCTGGGAAGATTCCCTGGCCCAGGGCTGAGAGTGACAGGAATAGACAGCCCTGCTGGGGGAGCCGTGAGCCCTCGGGCATGTGGGCGACTGCAGACGGGAGACACCTGCACCAGGGGCCTGTCACGGAGAGACCACCACCTGCACGGACTCCTTTAGGTATTTGTCACCACCAAGTGTGTCAACTTTGAGCAGAGACTCAACAACCTTAGAGTTAAAGGGACCTTAGGTCATTGTGTCATTTTAGCTGCAGCATCTTGTTTTCAAACGAAAACTTGCATGACCTCAACATTGAAACCACATACAGGTAGAGCCCCTGTGGGAGATTCAGGAATGGGGCACCTGGATCTCTGCCCATGTAGCTTCCCCAGCACCCCTTATTGAGGCCTCTGTAGCTCTAAGGACCCGTGGTCTGGTCTAGCTCCTCTTCGCAGATGAGAGAAATGAGGCCCAGAGAGGGCGAGTGACTTGCCCCAGTGCACATAGCCAGTGCCCTAGTCCCCTGCTCCTACTTTTCATTATTCCAGGAGTCAGCTGTGAAGATTTTCTTGTTGCTATACATACATTTGCTTTTTAGTGTCAGTGATGACTCTGGAAATAAAAACAGTGCTTCAACAGAACGCCAAAAATCTTCTATTTCCAGAGCTTTACTTTTATCTTTGTCCATAGGAGCTGGATTATTCCGTCAATCCAGAATCTCTGCCTCCACTTCGGAATCCTGACATCCTCGTGGGCGAGAATGACCTCACGGCTCTCAGCTATCTCCATGAGCCCGCGGTGCTCCACAACCTCAGGATCCGCTTTGCAGAATCCAAACTCATTTACACCTACAGTGGTAAGGAGAGCAATTCTAGGAAGTAAGGAATGACACTGGAATGGAAGCTTGCTGTCTGGAGCCTCCTGCTTGTTTTATGTTTATACTGAGCACCCAGAGTTTGTTGTACAAAGAAGTATCTAGGTGGGGAGAGTCTTCAACAAGAGCTAAGACTGGACTACCGAGAAAAGGAGATGTAACAAAGCTTGTGTTTGGGTTTCTCATCGGATTTGATACATTTATTACTTATTTTGGGCAATGATATTACTTACATTGTGAACTGCAAAAATGTTTCCGTTTGGGAGCATTTCCACCTGTCCTGTCATCCAACCATCAGACCAGCCGGAGGGTGTAGGTGACTGGCAGGGAATTAATTCAGTGCATGAAGTGACTTGCCCAAAGTCACACAGAAGGTTTAATAAATGACAGAGCTGGGATTTCTTTCTTTTTTTTTTTTTTTTTGAGACGGAGTCTCGCTCTGTCACCCAGGCTGGAGTGCAGTGGCCGGATCTCAGCTCACTGCAAGCTCCGCCTCCCGGGTTCACGCCATTCTCCTGCCTCAGCCTCCCGAGTAGCTGGGACTATAGGCGCCCGCCACCTCGCCTGGCTAGTTTTTTGTATATTTTAGTAGAGACGGGGTTTCACCGTGTTAGCCAGGATGGTCTCGATCTCCTGACCTCGTGATCCGCCCGTCTCGGCCTCCCAAAGTGCTGGGATTACAGGCGTGAGCCACCGCGCCCGGCCTGGGATTTCTTAAAAAAACAAACTGGAGAGGCCAGTGGCAGTAAGAATCTTTTAACTGCATCTAACATCTTTCCCCAGGAATCATTTTGGTGGCCATGAATCCTTACAAGCAGTTGCCAATATACGGAGATGCCATCATCCACGCCTACAGCGGGCAGAACATGGGCGATATGGACCCACACATATTTGCCGTGGCAGAAGAGGCATACAAGCAGATGGCCAGGTAGCTTCCTGCCAAGCTGGACTTCCCCTTGCTCTGCCAATGCTCCCTGCATTTGCCAGACCATCACAGTGGAGGGGAGATACCTAGGTTGGGCTCATTAAAAGAGATAGGCCAGAGATGGTGCTTTGTCGAGCCGACTACCTGGAATGAATAGCAAACGACTGTTCCATGCACCTGACCTGTCAAGACTGAGTTTCCTGGGTTTTGTTCCTTCAAGGTAGTCAAGTCAGTCCTACCAGTTTGGGAATAGCAGATCCTTTTCTTGTAGTGTGTTTGGTTGGAGGAGTGTTGATTTATTCTCTGCTATGAGATGTTTAAGCTTTTTTTTTTTAACCCATTCAAGGAAGCAGAATCTGATGACAGGGGATTTATCTGCAGGAGGTTTTAGGTGCAGGAGACTTGGGAGTTTTATCCTGATTTCACTGCTAGGTGTTTGTAGGGCCCCGTGGAGTTCTTGTTTCACTAGTGCACATGTATGGAAAGCCTCCTGCGAATGAGGCACCACACACACATTCCCATATGTCATCTGGGATGGCCTCAGAATAGCCCATGATGCAGATGTCTGGGTGGTAAACAGTTTCAGGGAATAACCAACTGAGGTTAGGCAGCAAGTAAAAGGCAGATCCTGGGATTTGTGCTTGGATGTTTAAACTCTAGTTTATTTTTCCCATAACCATCACTTTTGGCTTCAGTGTCTTCATCTGTAAAGTATGGAGAATAAAAACACCACCCTATCTTTGTAGCTGCCTTTACAGTTTGCAAAAGAACTTGCACATACAGTGGTCTCCCTTGAGTCTTACAGCACTCCTGTGAAGTCGACTGACTTCATTGCGCACTTTTCACAGATGGGAAATCCGAGGCACAGGACCTGGACCTGCTGACTCTTTACCTAAGTCTTTACTGCATAACCCCAGCCGCAGCTCCTGAGCTCCCTCCGCTTTATGTCTTCGTCCGTGAGCTGGACTCTCAGAGGGCACCCATTCCTGGTTCTGCTGCTTGTAATGAGGGGGCAGGTGGTAGCTTCCATGAGGTAGAACACGTGCTGCTTTCCTGCATAGCCATCTAATGGGCAGTCTGGGGATAGACCGAGCTTCTTCACAGTCATCAGAGACCCGGTGCTGTGCAGCTCCCTGTCCCTGGGGTGGGGCAGGCATCCTCAGGGACAAGCTAGTGCTCAGCTCTGTCTTCCATATTCTAGGTGACAAGGCATATGAGGGGAAGGGTACAGCCCTCCAGGTTAGGGAGACTCTCCGGAAGCCCCACAAAGCGCTTCTGCTCACAGCTCATCGGCCAGGACCTCACTCACACAGGGAGGCTGGGATGTGCAGTCTTTCATATACACAGCGGGGCACTGCCTGGCCACTGGGGCCTAGTCCCTAAGAAGGAAGAGGAGAATGCAAGTGAATACTGGGTAGAGAATTAGTAGCTTCTGCTGCACCAAGATTCCTTCTAACCCTAAAACCCCCACGGTTCTGAGATTTTTCCCTGGCTCCCTGCAGGTCTCCCAGGTATCATGGTGATTAGGGTCTGGGTATCAGTGGGATGAGCTCTTGGGCACTGTAGGGCTGTGCTCAGTTCAGCCCTGAAGAGCCAGTGTCTCCTTGGCGGTCTGTGTAACTGCAGTAACAGAACAGAGCCTAAAGCAGGCTCGTGTTGGCCTTATTTGATGCTAGACAGATAGTGTCCCTCAGGGCTGTAGAACAGGACTGGGATTACCGAAGCCCTATTCTATGCCCTGAGGGACACTGAGCATGTCATTCCCCTTCTCGGAGTCTTCATCTTGTCTCTGAAATGAAAATATTGGACCAGGGCTGTGTACCCAAAGTCTTCTCCAGCATTCACATGGGAGGCTGTGGCTCTGTGCTCTGGGTCAAGTCACTCCACCCACGGTCACCATTTTACTCCTCTGTAAGAGAGAGATCTATGTCGTAGGATTTTCGTGAAGCTTAAATGAGAATCTGTATTCACTCAGCACCTGGCATGTGAGCGGTGCCACATCCACAGAGCCGCGTTAGAAGCTTCCACCGTCACGATCTTATGACATGAAAAGTTTAGTGCATTTTTTAAAATCTCTAAATTATATAACAGAGCATGTTGGCTTACAGAGCGCATATGTTCCCAAGCATCTTTTGAATAATTGCTCTCAAAATAATGTCCTTGAAATGTTTTTATATTTAAGTGGGATGTGCAGAAAGGAGTTGACATAAGGCCTGAGGCTGCTATCTTTAGAGGCCTGCTTGCAAGGAGGCCCGTGGCTGGCCTCTGATTTCATGACGGTTCCTGACATTTCTTGGTTGATAAAGTGGCTCATTTTACCTAAACTCAAGCTGTTTGTGTAAACAATGTGCTTTATGCTGAATACCCGCTTTCCTTCTGGGAGTCTGGAATGTTGGCATGTGCCAGGCAGAAGGTGGGCACTGCATCTCTGATGAGCTTCCCTCGCAGCCAGCATTTCACATGTGCCGTCAAATTCCTTGCTGGAGGAATTGAGCGTGTCCTGTGTGACCCGACTGGGAGAGGACCCCTGGAAGTTTGCACCCAGGTTCCACTGGACCTCGCCCCGCATGCCTTTTCCCCTTGCTGCTTTTGCTCTGTATCCTCTTGCTGCGCTGTGAGGATGACTGTATGCTGAGTCCTGTGAGTTCTCTTACTGGGACATTGAACCTGGGGTTGGTCTTGGGGCCCCTCAGTAATTTTGGGGTACTCAATAAATACATGTCGACAGGCAGCATGATGACCTGCACAGGGTCCATCTAGAAAGAGGGTGGTCAGGAGAGGGTGGGGAGGGCAGAGGAGAGATGAAATTCAAGAACAGAGTTTAAAAGCAAAAATCCTGCCCAGAGACTGGGAGGGATGGGAAGGAGCAGTTTTTTGGTTGAGTGGAAAGGTTGAATAGGGAAGCAGTAAGGAGTAGGGATTGGAGTAAAAGGTTGGATGAAAGATAGAAAGAAAAAATCTAGAAGGAAATTGATTGAGTTGTTTTTTTGTTTTGTTTTGTTTTGTTTTGAGACACAGTCTCGCTCTGTCACCCAGGCTGGAGTGCAGTGGCACAATCTCGGCTCACTGCAAGCTCCGCCCCCCGGGTTCACGCCATTCTCCTGCCTCAACCTCCTGAGTAGCTGGGACTACAGGCGCCCACCACCGCGCCCCACTAATTTTTTGTACTTTTAGTAGAGACAGGGTTTCACTGTGTTAGCTAGGATGGTCTCGATCTCCTGACCTCGTGATCCGCCCGCCTCAGCCTCCCAAAGTGCCGGGATTACAGGCGTGAGCCACCATGCCCAGCCTTGATTGAGATTTTAAAATAGTAGAGTGACAAAACGGTTTCCCTCTTTTGTCTTGTCCGCATTTATCTTAATTAGCACACATCGCCTCTTTAATGGGAAGAAACTAACATTTGAAAACTCTTTTATTTGCTTTAGAAACAACAGAAACCAGTCCATAATTGTAAGCGGAGAGTCGGGTGCTGGAAAGACAGTGTCAGCTCGCTATGCCATGAGGTACTTCGCCACCGTCAGCAAATCGGGCAGCAACGCTCACGTGGAGGACAAGGTCCTGGCGTCCAATCCCATCACTGAGGTGCGTACCGCTGCGGAAGGCAGCCGTGTGTTGATGATGGAAATGGGGGTTGGTTGGGTTCTGTGCTCTCCTGGCTAATTCAAGTTCCCACCCTTTAAAGACTAAAGAAGTGAGGGCGGGAAAGATCCAGGAAGCCTATTTGCTGGTGGGATTTGAAGGAGATGGGGACAGAATTGCTGCTTTCAAGGCTCTCTCCTGCTCTACCTCCTGGGCTGGAAATCTACCATCAGATTCCAGAAGTCCTCTGTTTACATTTACATCCCAGGGGAAAACCAAACATCACTGGTGCACTGAAATCACTGGTGTTCTCCAACCAGCTGGCATCAGCTTTCATGAGCTGATTGTTAAAATATTCAGGAGTTTTGCAAGCTGATTGATAAACCTTTGGTCGTTTGACGTCAGTCATGGGAGGAGAATTTATACCTTCTGCCTTGGCAAAGGCCACATGTAAAGACTCTTCCTCCTGCCCTCCCCAAGAGCCAGTTCATCAGCACACTGCTGACTGGGACAGGGAGTGGGCAAGACCAACCGTGACAGTGCCCAGGGGTGAGGAGACAGCCCTCAAGGAAGAAGGGGCACCCAAAAGGGACAGAGGAGGGCCCCGCAAGCCAACTCCAGCTGCCCTGCAAAATGGGAAGAGGATTGATTTGAATTTATTTGGAAGCAAAGCAAATAATTAAGAACATTAGACTCGTAGACCTCTTCTTCCTGTTTTCTCAAATCAAAATCCTCAGTGAATATTTATCAGACCATCTACTCTGTTGAAGCCACTGTGTAGCTAATGTGGGAAGTGATGGAAAAGAATAAGACCCAATCTCCAAGTTAAGATTCTTCTAACCTAACGTAAGAATATTTTAAAATTAAATAGAAACATAAGTGGGGAGGGGGTACTAAGAAACACTGCAAAGCTCATAGTTCAGAGGCATAAGCTTCTTAGAAACATAAATTACAATCCAAGATACCAATAGAAAAGTTATCAAGGCTGGGTGCAGTGGCTCACATCTATAATCCTGCACTTTGGGAGGCTGAGGTGGGTGAATTTCTTGAACTCAGAAGTTCCAGATCAGCCTGGGCAACATGATGAAACCCCGTCTCTACCAAAAATACAAAAAATTAGCCAGGTATGGTGGCACATGTCTGTAGTCCCAGCTACTCAAGAGGCTGAGGTAGTCTACCTTGCTTGAGTCAGGAGGTGGAGGTTGCAGTGAGCCAAGATTGCACCACTGGCACTCCAGCCTGGATGACAGAGCAGGACCCCTTCCCAAAATAAAAGTTATCAAGAGCCAGTGCCAAGTTAAATGCCCAGTGGATAATTTTGTGTAAATATTTAGGGTTTGTCTCCCCCATTAGACTGTACACTCTGAAGGCAGGGCTATATCTATTTGGTTCACCGAGCGCATGGCACATAGTAGGTGCTCAGTAAATACATGTTGACAGGCAGCATGATGACCTGGGCAGGGTCCATCTAGAAAGAGGGTGCTCAAGAGAGGATGGGGAGGGGCAGAGGAGAGATGAAATTGAAGAACAGAAGTAAAAAGCAAAAATCCTGCCCAGAGAGTGGGAGGGATGAGAAGGAGCAGTCTCTTGGTTAAGTGGAAAGCTTGAGTAGGGAAGCAGTAAGGAGTAAGGATTGGAATAAAGGTTGGATGAAAGATGTGAACTTTTAATTGAGCATCATAGGCATTTGGGGCCTGAGTGAATTGAGGCACCTCATATTCTCTCATTTAATCCTCCCAATTCTGTAAGTGTTGTGGTCAGTCTGGGCTGCTGTTATAATAATAAGTATAATATACTTTAGTATAATATACTTTAGTGTCATCGACCAGGTGGCTTATAAACAACAGAAATTTATTTTTCACAGTTCTGGAGGCTGGAAGTCCAAGATCAGGGTGCTAGCAGGGGTCAGGTTCTGGTGAGGCCTCTCTTCTGGGTGCCTGCCTGCTGTCTTCTCACGGTACCCTTACATGGCAGAAAGAGAGCAAGAGAGGTGTCTGGGATACCTGTTATGTAGGCATTAAAATCCCACTCCCAGGGGCTCTATCCTCGTGACATCATTACTTCCCAAAGGCCCACCTTACCATACCGACACATAGGGTTAGGATTCCAGCATGAGGATTTTGGGAGGACACAAACATTCAGTGCATAACAGTAAGTTGCTTATTATTCTCATATTACAGATAGGGAAATTAAGACCTGGAAAGATGAACTACCTTTTTTGTTTGTTTGTTTTTGAGACAGGGTCTCACTGAGTTACCCAGGCTGGAGTGCAGTGCTGCAATCATAGCTCACTACACCCTCCAGCTCCTGGGCTCCAGCAATCCTCCCACCTCAGCTTTCTAAGTAGCTAGGACTACAGGCACATGCCACCATGCCTGGCTAATTTTTTTGTGTTTTGTAGAGATGGGAGTCTCACTGTTTTGCCTCGTCTGGTCTCAGACTTCTGGCCTCAAGTGAATTTCTCGCCTCAGCCTCCTGAAGTGCTGGGATTACAGGCGTGAGCCACCGCACCTAGCCAGTGAACTAACTTGTAAGACATTACACAGATAGCAAAGATAGAACCCAGGGCCCTGAAACATCAGAACCTGTGCTCTTTCTGGTCCTCCCCAGTGTCTGCCAGTGGGACCGAGGAGAGGTTTGAGCAGCAGGCTCGGGACTGGTCATGTTCCCTGCCAGCCTGGGGTTGCTTTCTTTCCCCAGACCTCCCTCTGCCAATCAGACCTTCCCCTCGGGTATGGAATTGCATTTGACTAAAAACTCCTGCAATAACGTTGAGGCAAAAATCTTTTAATGTTGTTATTTCAGAAGAGTTATGTTTTTTTAGGCCGTCGGAAATGCCAAGACCACCCGCAATGACAATAGTAGTCGGTTTGGGAAATACACAGAAATCAGTTTTGATGAACAAAATCAAATTATAGGAGCCAACATGAGAACTTACCTCCTGGAGAAATCCAGAGTTGTCTTTCAAGTAAGTATTAAATTTTTCCCCAACTTTTTGAGCATTATTTACAATTACATTCTTATTATATATACTCAGGCAGGCTACGCTATGCTATGAATTGAAGACTAGGGTTTTCTTATCTTTCATTTGCAGTTTGGATTCTTTTTTCTGTTGATTAAAACTTGATGGTGAATAGGTGTAGTACAGGTGAGTTGTATGACTGTAGGAAGAGGTTATGACTTTTTAATTTGGGGGATTTACAAAATCCTTATAGTTTAAAAAGCAGGTATCTCTTTCTAGAGTACAAAAACTGTTTGAAATAGACAAAGCTGACAGACTGGCTTTCCTATCAGAAAGGGAATGGGATCAGAGCTATCGAGGCGGTTTTAAGAGAAAGGCTTTTCTGCCAGTAAAATGGAGAAAATTCTCACCGTTTTGGCCCAGGAGGAGAGCAACAGTAAACCTTGTATTGCAGGAAGTTTCTAAAAATGTCACTAGGATGAGTTATGTCATTCCTATTCCATAGGATATTTTCATTTAATAACACTTTCTCTGGGTTACTCGTTACTTGGAAGGCCATCTCAGGCCACCCAGTTCTCAGCTGAGAGGAAGGGCCTCTTGTGGACTGGCCAGATCACATCCCAGACAGATAATTATCCATCCAGGTTAGACATCTAAGATGCTCTAGTTAAAAACATGGCATTTTTCGGGCGAGGTGGCGGGCGCCTGTAGTCCCAGCTACTTGGGGCGGAGCTTGCAGTGAGCCGAGATCGTGCCACTGCACTCCAGCCTGGGGCACAGCAAGACTCCGTCTCAAAAAAAAAAAAAAAAAAAAAAACATGGCATTTTTGCTTGTGAGGATTTGGTGTAATTTTGAGGACATTTCTTTATCTTACAGTCGGAAAATGAACGAAATTACCACATTTTCTATCAGCTTTGTGCATCTGCACAGCAGTCGGAATTTAAACATCTTAAATTGGGTATGTGATGGATCGTGTGTGGAAGGGTCTCTCTTTTATGTGGGGGCTTAAATTCTAGGTTAACTTTCTTCTTATACTAATATGTCTTTTTTTTTTTTTTTAAGTATTTGCCCAAAGATATAAGATTCTTTGGTTTCAAGGACAGAATTGGTGCATCTAATTAAGGGGCTGGATTAGGGCTGGGGGGATGAGTTTAGAGAGAGAGGGCACTCTTAAGCCTGAGGTTATTTTTAAAGCTCATTGGGACTGGCGTGGTGGCTCACACCTGTAGTCCCAGCACTTTGGGAGGCCAAGGTGGGCGGATCACCTGAGGTCAGGAGTTCAAGACCAGCCTGGCAAACGTAGTAAAACCCTGTCTCTACTAAAAATACAAAAATTAACCGGGCGTGGTGGCACACACCTGTAGCCCCAGCTACTTGGGAGGCTGAGGCAGAAGAATTGCTTGAACCCGGGAGAGGGAGGTTGCAGTGAGCCGAGATCACACCACTGCACTCCAGCCTAGGCAACAGAGCAAGACTCCATCTCAAAAAAAAAAAAAAAAAAAAAAAAGCTCATTGGGTGTTTGTGCTCCTCCAGCTAGAACCACCTGATTAAGACCTCCTGACAACTGGAACATACGGCGTCACCAAACCTTCCATTTTATTTGAACATGCATAGATAGTTGTTTTTCTAACATGTATGACATGTTAACCCATTTTTTAAAACAAACCACCTCTATCATAATTTGATGGCTCAAGGTCATTCATTATTTGTAGTCATAATTGATTATATTCCAGAGATGGCTGAAGCATAGGGCTGTTTGTCCTTCAATACAAAAGGCCCCGAGCCCTGTGCTGTCATGGCTCTCCTGCCTTAGCCGTTCGTGCTATGCTGGTAGATGAGAATTGTCGGAGATAACGTCTAGTATGTTGGAGTTGAACTTACACACACTCTAATTTTGGAGAAGCTGCTTGTGCTCTTAGAATCTAAGTTTCTGCAGATTTCACATGAAGGTAATATCCTTGGCCTTGTCTACCAAACAGAATATGAATAGCGAACTTGCAGAAGGGCTTTCTGAAAGATCCTCTACTATTTAAACATTAGGGGTGTGTGTGTGTGTGTGTATATATAGTCATCCTGATTGTTCTAATGGTTTTATAGGAGTATATGCATGTCAAAAGTTTATCGAATTGTACGTGTTAATCATGCAGTTTATTGTACATTCAGTAAAGCTATATAAAAATGTTGGGTACAGGAACAAAAACCATGAGCTTTAGAGTTAGGCCTGCATTTAAATTCTTGCGTGCCATCAGCTATGGGAACTTGAGAAAGTTACTTCACTTTTCTGAGTCTTAGCTTCTGTGTCTGTAATGTAGAATTCTTTTTTTGTTGTTTTGTTTTTGTTTTTTTGAGACAGGGTCACCGAGGCTGGGGTGCAGTGGTGCCAGCACGGTTCACTGCAGCCTCGAACTCCTGGGCTCGAATGATCCTCCCACGTCAGCCTCCTGAATAGTTGGGATCATAGGCATGTGCCACCATGCCCAGCTAATTTTTTATAGAGTTAGGGTTTTGCCCTTTTGCCCAGACTGGTCTTGAACTCCTGGGTTCAAGCAAACCCCTGCCTCAGGCTCCCAAAGTACTGGGATTACAGGCATGAGCCTCCACACCTGGCTGTAATGCAGAGTTCTAAGGAATAAATAGAATAAACTGTGTAAAGTGCATGACACAGCTTATTAAGTATGAACTTCCCTTCTTCTGATAAATGTGTATGTCCAAATTTCTGTGTTACAGACATAACAAATCTTACTTTTTGATTTCAGGGAGTGCCGAAGAATTTAATTATACGAGAATGGGAGGCAATACTGTCATTGAGGGTGTGAATGATCGAGCTGAAATGGTAGAGACTCAAAAGACCTTCACGCTACTGGGTAAGAGCAAATATCCCATCCGAGGATGTAGCCATTTTCTCTTAAAAAAAAAAAATTAAGGCCAGGCATGGTGGCTCATGCCTGTAATCCTAACACTTTGGGAGGCCAAGGCGGGCGGATCACAAGGTCAGGAGATCAAGACCATTCTGGCCAACATGGTGAAACCAGTCTCTATGAAAAATACAAAAAATTATCCGGGCATGGTGGTGGGCATCTGTAGTCCCAGCTACTCAGGAGGCTGAGGCAGAGGAATCCCTAGAACTCAGGAGGCGGAGGGTTGCATTGAGCCGACATCACACCACTGCACTCCAGCCTGGCGACAGAGCAAGACTCCATCTCAAAAAAAAAATTAAAAGGGGATTCCCAGCATATGTGTGTTCTGAAGGCTCCTAATCAATTCTAATTTTAGGACAAACCATCAGAACGTATTTGGAGACTAAGTGGTCAAGACTGCTTTTCCCTTAAAAGAGCTAGAAATTAACCCTTTTTTTTCCTCAGCCTTCCTGGCTCACTGTCAGAGGCATGGGCTGCAAGCCATGTGACTGCTGTAAGCTCTTCTAGGCTGAATACAAGGATGACTGGTGAAGCCAAGGTCCGATTCGGTTCAGAAGTGGAACGTTGGCCCTCTGTGGCCTTCATAGGTCTCCTGATGATGACAGTAATGACAGCACTTATCTGGAGCTTACAATGTGCTGGGCACCATCCTAAGCACTTCATACCCCTGTGTGAACTCATTCAATCCCTACAACCACCCTAAGAAGTCAGTGCTGCTGTTTCTCCCATATAAGCGGGAAAGTAAGGCACAGAGACGGGAAGTGATTTACCCAACGTTAGGCGGCGGATTCAGAGTAGAACTGGCTTTTGCACTCCAGGGTCTTCAAGCATCTCATTTTGTACAGAAAACCCCACCTTCTGTTGCTCGGATGCCGGCACAGGTGGAGCAGGCACGACTCTCACAGCACAGCCAGTTGCTCCCAGTCCTTCTCGCCTTACTTTTCCCACACAGAGCTCATGTTCAGAAAGGCTGCCTACCAGATGGTGTTTACAGAAACAGGCACTCGCTCTCCCATTCTGTATGAGTCTAGACATCCACATGAAGCTGCCAGTCAAAGCTTTTGATCAGGGTGAGGCCGTTGGCCATTTCTTTCTTTCTCTCTTCTTTTTTTTTTGAGACGGAATATTGCTCTGTCGCCAGGCTGGAGTGCAGTGGCACGACCTCTGCCTCCCCGGTTCAAGCAATTCCCCTGCCTTAGCTTCCCAAGTAGCTGGGATAACAGGCACGCACCACCATGCCTGGGTAATTTTTTGTATTTTAGTAGAGACGGGGTTTCACCGTGTTGGCCAAGATGGTCTCGAGCTCCTGACCTCGTGATCCATCTGCTTTGGCCTCCCAGAGTGCTGGGATTACAGGTGTGAGCCACCACGCCCAGCCAGTCATTTCTACGTCTTGCTGAAATTTCTCTTGCTGAAATCTCCCACCAATTCATTCTAAGTGCTTTCATTCTTGTGGCCTAGTTGACTGTATCGGAATGTAAAAGGCTAAGAATTTCAGGTTAAATATATCGAAGGAATAGGTAAGACGATCACAGCTGGATAATGGAAAGTGAAAACAAGATGGTTTTCTAAGCAAAATCACCATCAGACTCTGTTCCCTCAAACCTGCTTCAAGGAGAAGGGCAATTTGAACATTTTGTAATAATAAGATAAACACTTTTGGCACTGATTCACATTTTCTGAAAATAATTATAGTCGTCATTTCAATCTCCGTATAATCTACTCCATGGAGCGCTGGCTCGGTGCGTGAGGAGGGGACAGGTGGCCAAACTCTGGCTGGGCTGAAGGATATGCCCTGCCCTGCCCACTGTCATCTCCCTGATCCTTCTACTGTCTCTCACCTCTATCATGTCCTCCTCACAGCAAGATAATGTAGGGCAAATCGAGTAGGCTTTGGGATCAAATGAACGTGAATTCAAATCCTAGTTGGTATGAGTCTAAGGTACCCACTCTGAGACTTGGTGTCTTTTTTTGAGACGGAGTCTCGCTCTGTCGCCCAGGCTGGAGTGCAATGGTGCAATCTCAGCTCACTGCAACCTCTGCCTCTGGGGCTCAAGCAATTCTCCTGCCTCAGCCTCCTGAGCAGCTGGGATTACAGGCACACGCCACCGCCCCCAGCTAATTTTTGTCTTTTTAGTAGAGACGAGGTTTCACCATGTTGCCCAGGCCGATCTTGAACTCCTGACTTCAGGTGATCCACCCGCCTCTGCCTCCCAGAGTGCTGGGATTACAGGCATGAGCCACCGTGCCCAGCCAAGACTTGGTGTCTCGATCTGTGAGTGGCAGCACACCTTACCTTTCATGACAACTGGCGAGGAAGTGTATGTAAAAGTCCCCAGCACCAGGCCAAGCACATAGCTGGTGTGTGGTAACTGCTACTCCCTGCCTTCTAGCTCTCTACATTCCCAGTTTTCCAAACCCTCACCATGCTTTAAGTAAAACCGTCTCTTCTTCCATGAAACCTTTTCTAATTTTTGGAGATCAGCAATTTGCAGCCATTTGCCCCCGTGTATCACACAACTTAGGTTATGTTTACAGATTTCCACATCACATTCCTCAGTCCCAGGGCCAAGACTGGGACAAGGCAAGAGAGGCGCTCACCCTCAGGGCCCCGCATGTGCGGGGTTGGCCCTGGACACTTAGCCTGTGCACAGACCTAGATGTTTTAGACAAAGCCCTCTGGAGTTTTGTAGAGAGGTGGAGTACTGTGTCCTCTCACAGCGTTAATGGTGATGGCCGCCTGCTGTGCTGTGTGAAGTGGGCAGGTGGTAAGAGGTTGGGGCCACTGCACCTGTTGCCTGCACCTCTGCCTTCAAATGAGGATACCTCAGCAAGCGACCCTGCTCAAACTTTTCCTTCACCTTGCACGAGGTCATCAGGGACTTCTCTGTTTAGACACGCTAGGGTGAAGCTAGATGGCTCATGAATGCTGTGGGTCTTTTCTCATACTGTGGTGGGCACTGGCGTTAAACTGCTTAGATATGCCTTACTCACTGTGACCTTGGGTGAGTTCCCTAACCTTCCTGTGCCTTAGTTTCCTCTTCTGTGAGATGGGAACAATACTAGGATTCCTTCCTGTGGTTGCAGTGAGCATGAGAGGAGCTGATGGGTGGAAAATACCGAGGACAGTGCCTGAGGCGGTGTTCCGTTCGCCTTCCCCTCGCTTCTGCTGCTGAGGTCCCTCAGCTGGCATTGAGATTACCCCTGGAGAAGTGCGAGAGGATGCATTTTGATTAAAAAGTCCCTCTCCTCTGCTCTTCTGCTGTGTCTTTCTCAAGTGATTCCATCCACTGATCCCTGCCATTTGAGTGTTGCTATGCCCCTTGCTCTCTGATGGGACGAACACCTTGGAATCAGGCTGTCCCCGGGACCTCAGGCACTAGGAACTTGACCAGTGAGCTCCCCCTGGAAATCTGATTCAGGCTGGCATTGCTTTTGTGTGACAGGCTCACTAAGGGTGATTACTTAACACAGGTCTTGAATTCTTTCTTTCATATTACTGCTTTGGAGTTGTCATCTCCCTTTTGCGTTTCTGGAAGGCCTGGAGTAGTTGAGGGATTTAGTTATGGATCACAGAAAGCAGGGAGGAGTGCCAGGATGGAGGCTCCTGCACCTGGTGTTTTTAGTTGCTGCTCGTGGTCACTTGCCTGTCATTACTGTGGTGGAGGCCTAGGGGTATGCTTCTGTTGGACACATCTGTCCTTCAGATGGAGGAGTTACCTCCAAATGGAAAGGCAGCAAGTGCCTGGACTCAGCTGGAGCTGGAGTCTTCCCTGTGTTCTTGGATTGAAAGCTTTTGAGACTGATTTTATTTAATCTTTGTAGTACAGGAGACTCAGGGCCAGGTGCAGTGGCTCATGCCTATAATCCCAGCACTTTGGGAGGCCGAGGAGGGTGGACCACTTGAGCCCAGGCATTCAAGACCAGCCTAGACAACATGGCGAAACCCCATCTCTACACAAAGTTAGCTGGGACTACACACATTTGTAGTCCCAGGTACTCAGGTGGCGGAGGTGGGAGGATTACTTGAGCCTAGGAGGTCAAGGCTGCAGTGAGCCATGATCATGCCACTGCACTCCAGGCTGGACAACAGAGTGAGACCTTGTCTTAAAAAAAAAAAAAAAAAAAGTAGGTTTTGAAATTGTTAAAGAACATGACCTACCTGCTAATGAAAACTCCAGGTATCCTCAAATGAGGGATCACTGGCTTCCATTCCGGTGTCCATTCCAGGGTGGACCAGGCAGCCTGCCTGGTGTGAATGAGCCTGCCTGCCAGCCTGCGCGCATCTCTCAGCTCCTCAGGTCACCACAGTGTCATTAACACACACTGGGGGGATCCCGACCTGGCATCACCGGGCTCACAGCGTGCAGGTCTACACTGTGATTTGCAGGGTTTGAACACACAGTCCTTTCTAGCAGCTGGTTTGCTTTCTTATTGGCTCCAGGAAATATGCTAATGCCCTCATGGTGACTGAATATGGTATGTAGTTATAATTTATATTCTACTTACTGCAATCAAAGTCCCAATGGGAAACATGGGGCAGGCTCACAATAGGATACAAGAGGGATTATTTATTATTTACAACTACAAAGTTGTGAGTGGAGTCTAGGGGATCTACTAATACAAGGGGCAGTGGGCACCTGGGGGCAGCAGCAGAACTGTTCAGTGCTCTTTCCCATGTGGGCATCCAAGTGTTTCTGGGTTTCTGGAGCCTAGAAGGAGAGTTGGGTAAAGTCAGCCCCAGAGGAGTAGTGACCTCCTGTCAGTCGGGCCACGCAGCCAGCTGGAGGCAGCTTCGCAGGGACAGCGGCTGGGGAGGACGCACTCAGAACCTTCTCCGCTCCTCTCTCTGTTCTCCTGCCGGGGCTCCCCATGAATCAAGCCCAACCAAACGCCAGAGGGCATGAAAGGCCATCGCCTTGGTTTATACCAAGTCCCCTGGGGCAGAGAGCAGACGATCTGGAGGGGCAAATGGCATCCCTCCAGCAATCCCACCTAGAAAATAATTCACGGATTCAGAGAGCTTGTGAGCAAAAAGAAAAGTGAAAAACGTTCAAAATCAAGCACAGAATCAAGGCAGGACGACTCTCTGAGGAACCTGAAGTGAAACGGTTACTCGGGTATTAATTTTTGTGTTGAACTTCCTAGCAGGCATGGCACAGGGAAAACCTGTGTGTAGACACATATGACGTGTGTCTACAGAGGTCGACTAGAAGGAATAGTGCACCAGAGGCCCCTGGGTCCACTTCACGTTCCTGTCCCAGAGCTTGGCACTGATGCGACCTGCATATCTCGAATGAATCCAGGTGCCCATCTTACTAGTCAGAGAAGAGAGGCAGTATTCCTAATCTGGGAAAATGTTTGTTTTCAGGTTTCAAGGAGGATTTTCAGATGGACATTTTTAAAATCCTGGCAGCCATCCTACATCTGGGCAACGTGCAGATCACCGCGGTGGGCAACGAGAGGTCCTCAGTTAGTGTGAGATGCTCATTTGTTTTACTTTTCCTTTGTCCGAGGGTCATAGTGGAACCGGTTCGCAGCTGGCCTGCCTTTGCTTTTTAGCAGCAGGCATAGATGGCCTCCTGGGTAGACTGGTTTAGCAGGAAGCCGGCGGCAAGGGTTTCCAGGGGTTGCCTTCAAGGAGTAAAGCCTCCTCCCCTTGCAACAGTAGAGGAGGGGAAATGTGTCTTCTGTGTGTTTTTCTTTTATTCAACAAGTCCGTATGCAGCACCTACTAAGTGCCACGGACAGTCATAGCATCTGGGGAAACAGCAGTGAACGACACAAAGCAAGAAGCCCTTCAGAGAGCTTATGATCGGGGTAGGGAGGAGACACAACAAGCAAATATGATCTCCGGCAGCTGGTGACGGCTGGCACAGAGGAAAGTAAAGCAGAGGGGGCATGCGGAGGGGCCGTGCCTTTCATGTGGGGTGGTCAGAGAAAGCCTTTCCGGGAAGGCGGTGGTGGGCAGCGGCCTGAAGGGGATGAAGAAGCAGGTTGTACCTGTGGATGGGGGAAGAACAGCAAGTGTGGAAACTCCCAGGCAGAAGATGTCATTTGAGATACAGCAGGAAGGTCCATGTATCCAGAGGGTGAGTGACAGGGAGGGTGTGGATGAGACCAGAGGGAGAAGGGGGATGGCACACCACGTAGGACCTTAAGGACGCTGGGTAGTTTTCAGCAGAAGGACACTCACTACCTCCTTACACCTGCTTGACTCAGACGTCAGTGGTGCTGGCTTCCTGGGAATGTGTTGTAAGTTTTGTGATAGATTTCTTTAATGGACACAAGTTAATTTAATGTGTGTTTCTTCTCTGACACATACTATGAGTAGTGATTCTTGGGGGAGGGGTATGTGTTTAATTAGTCTCATCAATGTCCGTGTAAAGAAGAAAACAAACACAAGTAAAAAATGTTTCTATGAAACACAGAATCTGCCTACCTTTAAAGCTTTGCATTAACAGTGACATGTCTGTCCTAGTCAACTCAGAATGCCATATCCAAATGCCACAGGCTGACTGGCTTCAACAATAGACATTTGTTTTCTCACAGTTCTAGAGGCTGGAAGTCTGAGAGCAGAGCGTCAGCCTGCTCGGTTCTGGTGAGGACTTCCTGGCTCCTAGACAGCCACCTTCTCATTGCGTCCTCGTGGAGAGAGAGCAGACACTGTGATGCCACTTACGAGAACACTAATCCCATCATGGCAGGCCTCACCCTCTCGACGTTCGCCAACCCCGATTACCTCCCAAAGGCCCTATCTCCAAATACTGTCACGTTGGGGGTTAGGACTTCAACATCTGAGTTTTGGAGGGACACAAATATTCAGTCCGTAACCATGTCTATTTTCATGTCCCTCAAATAACCGATGGGAATAGTTGATCATTTTGTGTACCCGGTGAGTTCTTGGCTGTCTGCTACCAACGGTTTGGGGAGAGGGCAGAGCTGAGTGGAGCATGAGCTCCTGGGCTCGGCGTTTTAGGCCTGTTGCCGTGACCAGGAAGTAGTTCTCCTTCTTCTCCTCCAGCTTTCACCTCAGCACCCCTCCCGTCCCCCCGCGGTGTGCAGACCTCCCAGAATGAGTCAGTTCCCCAAGTGGGAAAGCAGGGAGAGAAGTGACGAGAGGCCTGGGGGAGAGTCTGGTGTGTCTGAAGTGGCAGGTCCCTCTGTTTCTTTGCTTAGTTACCTCAGAGAAGCTGGGCTTCTGCCCTTTTCCCCCTAAACCCCCAAAGACTAAAAATGTGATTTCTGCCCAACAAATGCCACCACACTGAGCCCTCTCCCATGAAGCTTGTTGTGAAGGTAGCATTTTGGAGGAAGAATTAACATTGACTGGCAGAAAATCCTTTCTGTGTTCTAAGAATATCTGTGGAAAATTCCCAGTCCTATAATTATTGGTCCTAGATTTGGGATCCATTTCCACCCATTTGTATCAGGAACTTGAAATGTTAGACACGTTAAATTTGGACAAAGCCGTCTGACTTTCTGAAAAGCTGCTGCCCTTTGCATTTTTTTCCCATAGCAGCACCTGCAGCTGAATTGTTTTTGACTCAGAAGGTTTCGTTCGTTCTTAGAAGGAAGGAAACCAAATGCCTCTGCCAGTCCCCTCCCTTATGAGGTCAGGCACGTCAAAGCCAGCTCTGTGTTACTGTGATGCTGGTCTGCAGGGGTGTGGGTAGAGCGCAGGGAGGGGCAGGGCTGTTTCCATGGCTTCCTCCACTGTGTCCTGAGGCTTTTTAGTGCAATCACGTGGGTGTCCTGGTGGGCTGGAATGGTGCCCGCAGGGGAGCCTGCCTTGGGAGTTCTCCTGACTGAGAGAGGAGCTGGGAGTCACATCCTCGCCTGAGGACAGGAGCCCTTTGTCCACACCGGCTGAAGGGAAATGGGAGCACCTCTTCCCTCTTTTCATCTGCTGACCAGCGGGGCAGCTCTCATGCCCGGGCTTGGGGGAGAAGCAAGATTTCACTTTGTGCATGCAGGAAAAGTCCCACCCCAGGCCTCATGTCAGCTGAGGCACTAGCTCAGCCACGGGAACCGCACCAGTTTCTGCCTGGCAGCAACACCCAGGTACCTCCTGGGCCATCATCCAGGCAAACCCCTGGCCGCACGAGGTGGGGCAGGGTGAGTGCACACTCTGACAAGTGGCCCAGGATGGTACAAAGGGAAGAGAGAGGGACTGCATCCACATCCACAGGAACAGGCCGGGGTCTAGGGAGGATGGCCTCCATGGCCTTAGTCACCGCGGGCATTCTTTGGTGAACATGAAAAATCAGTGTGGGATGCAGCCCTGGACTCCCCGGCATTGCTGCAGGGGTGGTCCTCCAAGGGCCAGGTGCAGGACCCGTGCCGGTGCAGCCCTCTTGCTCTCCTCCCAGGTCTGTCTCCACCTCCTGAGGCCTGGACATCCTTGTGCCAGCTACTAGTCAGCTCTTGCACAGGCCTGAGTGTGGGCACAGGGGCCTGGGCCGGGTGGGTTTGTGTGGCTTTGGATGGCTGGGCCACCTGACGGGGCTTGTGCTTGTTTTTGAAGGAGGATGACAGTCACCTGAAGGTGTTCTGTGAGCTCCTGGGCCTGGAGAGTGGCAGAGTTGCTCAGTGGCTGTGCAATCGCAAAATCGTCACGAGCTCTGAGACGGTGGTAAAACCCATGACCAGGCCTCAGGCTGTCAACGCCAGGGATGCACTGGCCAAAAAGATCTATGCTCACCTGTTCGACTTCATTGTGGAGAGAATTAACCAAGCGTTGCAGTTTTCAGGCAAGCAGCACACTTTTATTGGTGTTTTGGACATTTATGGGTAAGATTCTCTTCAGTGAGCCCGTCTTTCCTCCTTTAAATGTTGAGAACCATGTGGTTTTTAGATTATTTTGTTCTGGTTCCTTTGTATTTCACATGATTAGAAAGATAACACTCTCTGCTTTTGCCCCTACAGATGCTAAGTACACTCTATTGGGCTATGGTGCCGTTTATTTAAAGTGCATTAAAGAGATGCTGAATTAGTAATGACTGGCGTTAAGAGCTTACTGTGTGCCAGCTCTGAGGCTGCCTGACTTCCCTGAGCTTTCTCACTTAATTCTTAAGCAACCTCATAACTATCCCCATTTTAGACCTGCAACAACCAAGGCTTAGAAAGACTCAATAACTTGGTCACAGTTGCTCCACTGGTGGGAAAAGCCAGCACAGTTGTGAGGCTCCTGCTTCTGCTTTTCCCACCAAAGGCCCCTGAGGTGTGGAGCCCCGGGGTCCCTTCCCATTCAAATCAGAGGGGATGACAAGTCATCTAGGCCTGCACGTTGCCCAAGCCCAGCGGCCAGAGGTGGACTGAACCCAGGTCTCTGATCAGCCACCCCCCACCCCAATCATTTTCCGTTCTCGGGTGAGAAGGTCTTGGATTTTCCCCAGCCCTCCTCCAGGAGGTCTTACCCTTCATCCCATCCTGGAATTGGGTTCTTTTTCATTGTCTCTGCCTGGTCCTCCTTCTCTAAACCCCAGGCCCAGCTCATGCTGAAACTGCTGGGGAGTAACCAGAGTGGAAGCTGGCATGGAGGGCTCCGCAGAGATTGTTATCCCTCAGGCTTTTCTCAGTACCTGGCCCCAGTGCCCAGCCCTTGCCCCTCTCCTGGGACCCACCCTGGTTTCTTAGCAGGAGAAGGGGGAAGATTGACCCGTGAAAGGCATCGTGGAGTGTTCCACCTGGATTGGGGGATCTTCCCCCACACCCTGGCAAAAAGCAGCTCAACCCCATTCCCCATGCAAAGGGGAGAGCCCAGCCCTGGCCTTCCTGGCCCTGCTGCTGCCTCCTGGGGAGGAGCGGGACAGGGCCACGCCACGCTGTTGGACTTGCACCCAGGTGGAGAGGCAGCTTTTCCCATAGCTGTCAAATGGGAGACAGTGCCTCAAGGGAGTTGCTTTGTTTAATTTAGATCCTACGTTAATACGTATGGCTCCCAATTCATAGTACATGTCAACAGTTATAAAATGCTTAATACATTACTGGGATAGTCTAGTCAATTATTTACCTTGTCTTGTTCCAAGAAAGTGTTTGAGCAGCCAGTAAAAGCTTAAGTGAACTTTTAAAAGTGGATAGTCGTCATTAAAAATAGTCCTGTTTCACTGTGGTGGAAATATGTAATTGTTCTGTTATTCCCTGTTCTTTTGGGCGTTTTAAAAATGTATTTTTAAATGGCAGTCCTTTATTTTAAGAGTGTATTTCTTTTTTTTTTTTTTTTTTTTTGAGACAGAGTCTTGCTCTGTCGCCTAGGCTGGAGTGCAGTGGCACCATCTCAGCTCACTGCAACCTCATCCTCCCAGGTTCAAGCGATTCTCCTGCCTCAGCCTCCCCGGTAGTTGGGACTACAGGCACCTGCCACCACGCCTGGCTAATTTTTTGTATTTTTAGTAGCTATGGCGTTTCACAGTATTAGCCAGGATGGTCTCAATCTCCTGACCTTGCGACCTGTCCACCTCGGCCTCCCAAAGTGCTGGGATTACAGGCGTGAGCCACCGCGCCCGGCCATTATTTCATATTTTTATCTAACAGATGTTTATATCCCAGGCACTGTGTTGGAGGCAATGGTTGAACAGCACAGACACACGGCTCCTGCCGCCGTGGGACCGAGACTGGTGAGGGCGGCAGGCCGGCAGTAGAGGTTGGGATGAGTCCTGGGAAGGGAGGAAGGTGTGCTGGAGGTTAGCAGGGGGTGGGGACAGAGCAGGGGCAGCCGTGTGCAAGGAGTAGCAAGCTGGATGTTGGCCCCCAGGCAGGATCCAGCACCACTGTAATAAGGAATTTGAATTTTTCAACTATGTGGAAAAACCTGAGATGAGTATTTATAAATTCTCAAAGACTTGTTAGAATAAATTATTTTAAGATTCCTCTCAAAAATTCTAACAACAGCCTCTTTGCTGCCACCCTTGAGTTCATGAGACGCCTCCAAAAAAATCAGCTTTCCTCTAGGCAGCAGGGCTGCAGCCCGGGGCCAAGCCCTTCCCGCCCCCGCCAGCAGCCTCACTTCTAGGCTAACCCTCGCCCAGGCGTACCTGCAACTTTTGAGAAAGCTCATTTTGACTGGGAAATAAGGAAGCTTCAAAGGAACAGTTAGCATCTTTGAAAGCAAGTAAAGCTGAGGCTATGAGCTTCCAGGTCTAAGCTGAGAGCGGACGAAGGCTGGTGACTCCCCGGCCTGTCGTGTGTTATGTTCTTTGGACCCAGAGTTGGAAAAGCCTGGGTCTGGGGGTCAGACCCCTCGGAGTGAGCTCCATAGCATACCAGTTACGTGACCCCAAGAAAGTCACAGAACCTCTCCAAGCCTCAGTTTCTGCATCTACAAGATGGGGCCTCTCTTGCAGGGTGATTTTGAAGACAAGATGGAAGGTATACAGGTACCTTGAAAACCATAAGCATGGATCCAATGTGAAGTGTTACCATAGTCAACGTGCCTTTAGCATTTTAAGTCACAGATCTAGGTCTTTCCATAGGTCCTAAACTTCAGTTCTTTGTGCCCCCAAATAATGCGTTGATATTTGACATTTTGCCAGGTTCTAGAAAGCCCTGCCCTTGGCCCCAGCTGTGAGCTGCAGAGCGCAGTGAGACCCTTTTGAATCTCCCCTAGGCCCAGCCCTGGCCTTGCTTCCATGAGCAGACCAGCCCCCAAATCTCTGAGCCACCAAGGCTGCGTGTGGAATGGGGCCGTTCGAGCTGCTATGCGTCACCCTGGAGCTGCCTAGAGGACAGTCCAGGTTCTTACCCTGCCCAGGAATCCCAGATTGAGCCAAACCAGCTCAGTCAAGTGAGACTCCCAGGGAACCCGTGGTAGGAGCTGGCAGGAACCTCTCAGGATTAGGGTGATTAAGAACAAAGCTTTAGAGGCACCAAGCACTGGGGTCGAATTGCATTTCTGGCACCACTTGCTGGCTGTTGGTCCTCACCATGGTCACTCCTTCTCTGACCCTCGTGTGTGACAGTGGAGCCACAGGAGCCCTTCACATAGGGCTGTGTTAGGGTTAAGGGAGGTGACATGCATAAATGCTGACACCTTAAAGCGCTCAGCAAGCTGCCTTCCAGCTGGAGCGCATCTGGCCAGGTGCTAAATTTGGCGCCTCTGTTTTGTTCCGCCCACAGCATGTTTTGCAGAGTGGGGTTACTCACTTAAAAGTCCCAGTTTTCTGCCTTTTCTTGAGAACCAGTGAATCTAACATCCTGGCCCACGTTCGTCCATGGCTACGGCTGGCAGGAGCTGAGTAGCAGCTGCCCCTTGGACAATCCTGATGGCTCTCCAGCCCCCGCACGGCTCACTGTTGTGCCGTATCTAGTCTGCTTCCCAGGCCTGTCCCCAAGGGCTCCTCTCAGTTCTTGAGCTTGCAACTTCAAAGCAACTGCAGAGGCAACTGATGAAAGTCTGAACATGGAAGCCAGCCGTGTCTGTCTCGTCCCTGACAGAGTGTGCTGGGCTGTAGGATATGAAATGACTTTGTCCTTTTCCTCCAGGAACTATGAAAGCACCCCTTCGGGAGGCAAAATTGTGCCGCAATTGTGCTGCTCCTGCCCTCAACAGACAAGGAAAGGAGAATAGGAAACCACATTGCCTTCTCACCGGAGGCACAGGCATCACAGTCAGGCAGCTTCGCAGCTAAGTTCTGACACAAGCTGTGTGACCTTTGGCAAGTTTCTTAACCTCTCAGGCTTATTTTTGACCTATAAAGTCAGAATAACAATTGCCAATATCACTGTTGTTGTGCGGACTACACCATATCGTGACACGCCTATTTTAATGCCTTGCTTGGGGAAGGTGTTTTTTACCTACCAGATTCCTTCCAGGGGACAACCAGGAAAAGGGTTATATATAAACTGACTACTAGGATATCATTAAAACCAGAAGCTTTGAGGGGCATTTAAAACTTGTAGAAGATATAGCAAATGTTTAAGCTTCTAAGTGTCAAAAAATATCTATAAACAAATGCATATGTGCTGCTTCAGGTTATATTTTAACTTGTTTAAATTGTATTTCAGTTTTGAAACCTTTGATGTGAACAGCTTTGAACAATTTTGCATCAATTACGCGAATGAAAAACTGCAACAACAGTTTAACATGGTAGGTGACCCTTCTGCCTTCTTGACTAGTTCTCAGCCGTGTGTATGTGTGTGTCTGTGTGTCTCTGTGTGTGTGTGTGTGTGTGTGATCATGGAAAGAGGCATTCTTCACGTTTCAAATTTTTATGCAAGGAGCCTCACGCTGGGTTACTGCACCACCTTGTGGCCAAATCTTGAAATCACACCCTCTCATCTATTTGCTCTTTTTTTGAATCACCTGCCAATGTGTGAGCCTTACTGCGCCTCTTGGATACAGACCCTCTGTGCAGCCAGGCAAAACTATTTAGTTGGTTGCCTGAGGCCTCCACTTTCTTTCGAGCCTCTCTGTCTTTGCACTTGCTGCTTTCTCTGCCTTAACCCACCTGCTCCTGTTTTTTCCCCATTGCTTTATCTTCACCTGGCCAACTCCAGCTTGTGTTTTGAGATCCAGCTCCCCTGAGAGCCTTCCGCGATATCTCCTGGCCTCCTCCTATGTGCTTCCTTGTCACAGGCCCGTCACATGGGATTATCATCATTTGCATGCAAGTCTCCAAATAGACTTAGTCACCTGGAGAGTCCAGGACTGGCATTCTTTGTCTCTCTCAGCCCAGTGCTTATCTCGGCGCATGCAGCACTAAACAGCAGATGGCCAATGGATTATGGGAATGAGTTTCTCCAGCCTTAATTTAGAACAAGACATATATGGTACCTTCCTAACTACTGATAAGATCAAATGTATTCTCCCATGGAAACAGACAGGAGATGGATTCCAATTTTTTTTCCCACTAGGAAGATTTGTTTATTCAAAAGACATTTTTGAGTGCATATTGTGTATAGCAGGTACCAAGTTAAGTGCTGAGATAGAAAGATGAATAAGATAATTTTTAAAATGTTGACTAAATGCTACTTGTGGCCGTTTTGGCATTTATTATTGCTATGTGTATTGAATACAATTTCGACCTCTTAAATCAGTTCCCTAGATGCAAGAACTTTAGTGAATTCACTTTTGAACTCCCAACAGTACTGATGCCTTTCTGCTCCTAACAGAAATCGATGAAGTTAAAAGTTGATTGGACATCCTTCTACATTGGCTCTACCATGAAACTACTCTCATATTTTTTTAAATAGTTGCCTCCTTCACATTTCTATTTGGCTCTGTTTCTGAAAAGCCATGAAAGTGAAAATGCTTTACTAACTCACATTTTCCTTTTAGCCTACATCCTAAACTTTGGCTACATGTTCATGGCAAGAATTTTGATTCCAGTTCATAATAGAAATCATGTATTAATACCCTAACAGTTACTCCATGGAAAGGTTATACCTTTGTTAGTCTTTAGTCTTATTCTCCCTCAGAACCCCTGAGGAAAGGTCTTGGAGAGCGTGGGCTTTGGCTCAAACTAAATTGGGTTTGAGTCTCAGCTCTACCTCCCTCTGGGACCTGGGGCTCTCTAAGCCTCTGTTTCCTTGTTTTAAAAATGAGTCGTCATTACACATTGTATGCATGTGTCAAAATACTACATGTACCACAAAACTTTGTACAACTATTATATATCAATTTAAAAAGAGTCAATAATAGCCGTCTAATATTGTGAGAAGACCTAACATTGAATCCTACTCAGAAGTTTCTTTTTTTTTTTTTTTGCCCAGAATTAATTCATGTATAATCATTAAATTTCATTCCATTGTAAATTTCTATTTCTTTAGCATTTGCAAGGCTTTCCTGGAAATTTAACATTAATAACTACAGCTGAGGTTTATTCCAAGTGCATATTCAGTTGGACTCACCTGAAGTCCAACTCTCTGTGGCTGCTACCCTGTCCCCTGGCTGCAGTGGCATGCTGCTCCCCAACATGTCCACCTTACCCTCAAAGTGACACTGATGGCAGATGTCTTGCCAAAAATCACAAATCAGAGGCTGCAATTCTGTTTTTTGTTTTTGCTTTTGTTATCCCCTCCTGTTCTTCTTCCTCATCCACTTCCTCCTCGTTTTCTTCCTTTTTCCTCTTCTCCTTTTTCTGAGTCATCCGTCCATCTGTAGATCCTCCCAGGAGGGGTAGTACCTTCCTTCAGTTGTCAGCACAGGAAGCTTTGGTTAGGACTCTCCTGATCTCCAGTCTCCCTCATCTGGCTGCCACTGGGCCTTGCACCTAATGCCCGCAGGGAGCTCAGCAGTAGCAGGTGTAGAAGTGCAGGTGCCACCTTCTCCTCTCAGCCCACTTACCCTTCATGTGACTTTCTGTGGTCAAGTCATGCCGTGGACCCCGTGTCCTGAGCCTGACGTTCATCTGGACCTCTTCCCTCCTCATCCTCCTCCCCAAGTCGCAGCCACCAAGAGCATCGGGCTGAGACCTCACTGGTCTCATTGCCTCCGGTCCTTCCCTCCTCTGAGCCATCCTTCAGGTCTCGTCATAATCCCTCCACCCTCCAGTGGGTCCTCACTGCTCCTAGAAAAAGGCCATAGGCCCAGAATTCTCTAGGGAGGGTGTGAAGGTCTAGGGTGATCTGACTCTACCATTCTTTGCCACCACATTGCCTGCTGTCCTCCTGTACTTTCTAACCTGCTTGAGGTGCATTTCTCAAGCACCCATTGAGCTTTTGTGCGGTTCCCACTGGGATTCCTCCATGGGAGGCTTTTGTTCTTGATGCCCCACCCACCCCACCCCACCCCACTCCACCCCACCCCACCCCACCTCACCACACCTCACCACCTACCAGCCCAACTTTCTTTCATCCTCCATGGTAGGCCTGAGTACATCCTCTGGGAAGCCTCCCGGATACCCCTACAGCCCAAATAAGTAGTGCACAAAGATCTCTAAGCAGTGGGCTTCTCTCCCTGGCCCGGCAACTAGCATTCTCAGGTAGTTGGCTCCACCCAGCCAGGCTGCATTAGGCTGAAGAGGCTGGATCTGTCCTTGAATAGCTCCTAGCAGGAAGGGGCTGTAGGACCACACTGAGTACCATGTGGTGCTGGTGGTGACACAGGCTGGCCCAAGCCATGTCCTGGGAGGTGGAGACCCACTCAGACTAGGTGGGAGGATGACAGCTAGACCCGCTTTAGGAACTCAGTGGTATTGATCATAGTATGGGCCTTGTCTATACTTCAGGGTCTTCCTGTTTAAACATAAATATTACAGATCAACCATTTATGTTTTCCAAATGCTTACGTCCTGCTCTTTGGAAACACACTTTAATATTCTGTTTTACTTTCTGTATTAACTTTGGATTCCCAGCATGTCTTCAAACTGGAACAAGAAGAATACATGAAGGAAGATATCCCTTGGACGCTGATAGATTTCTATGACAATCAACCGGTTATTGATCTGATTGAAGCAAAAATGGGAATTCTGGAGTTACTGGATGAAGAATGTTTGGTAACTTTTAAGAATAATTGTTTTTTTCAACTTTTAAGTATTAACAGATGAGCATTTTGCAAAGCAGTTTTTTTGAAGTGTGCTTGTAAAATCCTGGTGTTTACCCAGTTGGTTGGGTGGATATTAATGCTGGGACAGCATCCACAGCAGGGACCCCAGAGGGCCCGCTGGGCCTTTTGCCCTCAGCCTGTGTAAACCACCCTTGGGGAGCTGCACCACCTCCTAGGTAACGTCCAGCACGGAGGCCGTCCCAAGGTGTCTGTAGAAACATGCATGGAAACAGCAAGTGACTCCACTCAAGCTGTCGGTGACTAATAACAATTGAGTTTTCTTTTACATCCTGGTTCTTGTGAATCATCAGCTATAGCTGAAAAATCAACATCGTATGATTCATCGGAAGAGCTCTCTAGGAGTTTTCTTCTTACCTTTCCCTCTGGGAAACCCCGAAGTCGGCCAGCCTGGCCGTGTCTCTCGTGGGGGCACAAGAACAAATAATCCCCAAGAGGGGATTAATAAGGTTTCGGGGTTAAAGGAATTTTTTTTTTTTTTTTTTTGAGATGGAGTCTTGCTCTGTCACCCAGGCTGGAGTGCAGTGGTGTGATCTCAGCTCACTGCAACCTCCACTTCCTGAGTTCAAGCGATTCTCCTGTCTCAGCCTCTGGAGTAGCTGGAATTATAGGCGCCCACCACCAGGCCCAGCTAATTTTTTTTTTTTTGAGACGGAGTCTCACTCTGTTGCCCAGGCTGGAGTGCAGTGGTGTGATCTCGGCTCACTGCAATCTCCACCTCCCGGATTCAAGTGATTCTCCTGCCTGAGTCTCCTGAGTAACTGGGATTACAGGTGCACACCACCACGCCCGGCTAATTTTTGTATTTTTAGTAGAGATGGGGTTTCACCATGTTGGTCAGGCTGGTCTCAAACTCCTGACCTCATGATCCACCCGCCTCAGTCTCCCAAAGTGCTAGGATTACAGGCTTGAGCCACCATGCCCGGCCATGCCTGGTTAATTTTTTCTTTTTTTTTTTTGTTTTTTTTTTTGAGATGGAGTCTCTCTGTCTCCCAGGCTGGAGTGCAGTGGTATATCTTAGCTCACTGCAAGCTCTGCCTCCTGAGTTCATGCCATTCTCCTGCCTCAGCCTCCCAAGTAGCTGGGACTACAGGTGCCCACCACGACGCCCAGCTAAATTTTTGTATTTTTAGTGGAGACGGGGTTTCACCGTGTTAGCCAGGATGGTCTCGATCTCCTGACCTCGTGATCCGCCCACCTCAGCCTCCCAAAGTGCTGGGATTACAGGCATGAGCCACCGCGCCCGGCCAATTTTTGTGTTTTTAGTAGAGACAGGGTTTCCGTCTCAAAAAAAAAAAAAAAAAAATCACGTGTATCAAGAACAAATTTTGCAACTAGCTTAGTACAAGGAAGTATGCTCTTATTTCAAGGAGTGAGTTAATTAGGAAGTAAAATAAGAAAAACTGTTTTCCTGAGGCAAGGGAAGGGGAGGACTGTCTATTCAGGTGCCAGCCTTTTCCCATTCACCCGTGAATAAAGGTCATGTTCATGTAATGGAACCCACACTATTTTTTTCCTGAACCTTTAGACTTCTTTGGGAAGAAATAAAATACCGCCCATTTTATAGAAATAAAATTCTTCATTCTAAAGTCATTGTGCGACCATTTCTTTTTAAAGTTTTGTTCTTCTAAAGGGACATTGATGTATCCATTTAAATATCACCTCAAACACCCCACAACTATATGTAATTGTTATTTGTCAATAATTTTTAAAGTGCCCTAAAGATTAAGATCAAGGACAAATTGATGCCTAAAGTTGCTTTTTTAAAAGCCTTTAAGGCTAGGCGCAGTGGCTAATGCCTGTAACCCCAACACTTTGGGGAGGCCAAGGTGGGTGGATCACCTGAGTTTAGGAGTTGGAGAGCAGCCTGGCCAACATTGTGAAACCCCGTCTCTACTAAAAATACAAAAATTAGCCGCGCGTGGTGGCAGGCACTTGTAATCCCAGCTACTTGGGAGGCTGAGGCAGGAGAATCACTTGAACCCGGGAGGCTGAGGCAGGAAAATCACTTGAACCCAGGAGGCAGAGGTTGCCGTGGACTGAGATGGCGCCGTTGCACTCCAGCCTGGGTGGAAGAGCCAGACTCCATCTCAAAAATAAATAAATAGGAAGCCTGTAATTGAGAGCAGTTCACTAAAGTGCCAGATCACCTTGGTTTCTTAGAATTAGTGCTTTTCCTCGCCTGTATGAATCTCTAGTTTTCTTACTTGCTAGTTGCTTTATTTTTATTTTCCAGTTACCACATGGAACTGATGAAAACTGGCTTCAAAAGCTGTATAATAATTTTGTCAACAAGAACCCTTTGTTTGAAAAGCCTAGAATGTCGAACACATCCTTTGTCATCCAGCACTTTGCTGATAAGGTACTGCGAAGGTCTCCAGCAATGCCGTCGACCCCAGAACCCACACAGCCTCCAGAAGGAGTAGGCAGGCCGGGAATGTTTCTGGTCAGATTCAAGTCACACTTAACATGTAGCTTTGATAAGTGTGTGTTTAGCAGTTCCTGATTTGTTTTTATGATGACATACATGAGTTTCAACTGTACTACTTTAAAGACGAATGTGTTGTTAGAAGACCTCACTTCTGATTTTGAATTTATTGTGAATTCATTAACCTCTTATCAGTTTATTTTCTGTATGAAATTGTGATCATCAAGACAGCATAATTCTTTCCTATGATGAAGCTATATCTTTTTCTGAAGTTCTATTTGATTAAACTGGACTATATTACAATGGCAACATAGGTTAATTCAAGATGTTGATGGGTTATCTTCGTGCTTTTTTTCATCTTTTGCATCTTTTTTCTTCTTTATATGTCTCCTTTGTCTTTTTGCTAAACAGATGTTACTTGTCTGAAATGAAAAATTTTTGTTAAAATTGCATTATAGAAAGCTTAGAAAACAGAAGGAAAAAATTGCCATAACCACCTGTCCTAAATGTACATTCTTATTTGTTTTCCTTCCTTAAGGGAGCTCCTACCTCCTCCCATGTCCTGGTTGGGTGTTGCCTTGGTAGGCTAGCCCAGTGCCAGGGCTCACGGGAATGACTTGTGCTTGTCTGTGTTTATTGCAGAGGCTGGTGCTGTGAGTCAGAGCTGGTCACTCCTGAGTGACTGATGGTGGAGGGAGGGGACAGCAACCTGGAAAGCTGTGATCACCTTTGTGTGCTCGCAGAGTACTGTAAAATATTAAAATATAGGATTGGCTGGGTGCAGTGGCTCACACCTGTAATCCTAACACTTTGGGAGGCTGAGGCGAGTGAATCGCTTGAGGCCAAAAATTCGAGACCAGTCTGGCCAACATGGCGAAACCCCGTCTCTACTAAAAAATACAAAAATTAGCCAGGCGTGGTGGCACGCACCTGTAATCCGAGCTACTCAGGTGACTGAGGCAGGAAAATTGCTGGAACCTGGGAGGCGGAGGTTGCAGTGAGCTGAGATCACGCCACTGCACTCCAGCCTGGCCGACAGAGTAAGACCCTGTCTCAAAAAAAAAAAAAAAAAAAAAAAAGTTAAGTTTTTAGTGCTTAGACTTTTTCAGATGGGCTCCTGAAAAGATGCCTACGAAATGAATGATCATCACGAGGTCAGGAGATCGAGACCATCCTGGCTAACACGGTGAAACCCCGTCTCTACTAAAAAATACAAAAAAAAAACTAGCCGGGCGAGGTGGCGGGCGCCTGTAGTCCCAGCTACTCGGGAGGCTGAGGCAGGAGAATGGTCTAAACCCGGGAGGCGGAGCTTGCAGTGAGCTGAGATCCGGCCACTGCACCCCAGCCTGGGCGACAGAGCAAGACTCTGTCTCAAAAAAAAAAAAAAAAAAAAAAGAAATGAATGATCGTATGTTAAATTATATTTTCTAGCTATTGTCTTATAATATCAGGGTTCTGGTCCCATGGGAAAAGGGAGAGGGAAAGACCAGACTCCATAAAAAGCACATATGGGATTTCTTTTTTTTTTTTTTTTTGAGACGGAGTCTTGCTCTGTCGCCCAGGCTGGAGTACAGTGGCCGGATCTCAGCTCACTGCAAGCTCCTCCTCCCGGGTTTATGCCATTCTCCTGCCTCAGCCTCCGGAGTAGCTGGGACTACAGGCGCCCGCCACCTCGCCCGGTTAGGTTTTTTTTGTATTTTTTTTAGTAGAGACGGGGTTTCACCGTGTTAGCCAGGATGGTCTCGATCTCCTGACCTCATGATCCACCCGTCTCGGCCTCCCAAAGTGCTGGGATAACAGGCTTGAGCCACCGCGCCCGGCCTGGGATTTCTTTCAAGGGTCTCTCTTTATAGGATGTAGTTTCTGTACATGTAAATTCTCTCACCTGCCACTTCCAGGAAGTCTCCCTTCAAAAAACTAGGCAGCGTTTGGGCTGGACTGTGGATTGATTGGTGGGAAGAACCCACACACGCTATGGGGTTAGATTAGGTTTTCGATCTCATTGGCCAGGGAAATCAGGTCATATTGAATGCAAGGCAGCTGAGCTTAGATGTGGCAACTCAGCACATCTTCCCTTTGGTCCCAGAGTCCCCAGCAGAGGCACCAGCTGCCTGTGACACTGTCCCCACAGATGCTTGCCCGGACCAAGAAAGCTCTATATTTGCCACCTTTGCCTGTCTGTCCTAGTGGCTCACACCACCATTCTGGAAGAATTTGTACAACAATCCAGGTACTTCATTCACAAAGAAGTGTTTACAAACAGCCGGTGTTCCTGGATCTTAACCTACTGGCAAGAGTACTTCCTTGCCCGGGGTACAAAGCAGAGGCCATGCCCAGGAACCCTCTGCCTCCAGATTCCAGCACTCTCCCCTGTTTCCTCATTGTCAATTTTTAACATTAATTTTAATATGTTTTTAATTTATGAAAAATATATTATCACATATTAAGATATGCAATCCAGAGGCATAAACTACAGGGAGGTTGAATGTTTAAGCAGCCACCCTGGATATGCCATGGTTTGAGGGATTCGAGAAGCCTTACTCATCAGAAAGGGCAGCATGGAGAATTTTTCTAAGCCAGATTCAAGCAGTGCAAACGTTTACCCACTCTAAACCTGACTCCGAGGGCTTGGCGGCTCTCGAAGGCCCGGTGGTCAGCTGATCGGTTTTTCTATCCTTTCTACCACATTAATGTTGATTTAGGAAACGATGTCTGTTTGAACCCAGTGAACACCACTAAGCTTTTTCCTCCTCCTGGTGGCTTCAAAGGCAAAGGGAGACCTAAGTCAGGTGTTCTTGTATGAACTGCACATACCGCAGGGAGCAACGGGACCCCTGTGGCCAGAGGGAGCTGACAGGTGAGTGCAGAGTGATCAGCAGGCAGGTGAGAGATCCAGGTGGTAGGAGAGCAGACACATTCCCAGCTGATACATAATGGGGCTGCTGCGGTGGCGCACAGAAAACAGACCTCTTTTTGTAAGATCGCCTCTATAGCCTTTTTATCAATCTTTCTTTAAAAAGAGATGAAACTTGTGCTTAGAGCCTATATTCTTTGGCCTCTTTGGGAATAATTAATTGCTTCCTCTGTATAGGTAGAGTATAAATGTGAAGGTTTCCTGGAGAAGAACAGAGACACCGTCTATGACATGCTGGTTGAAATCCTGAGAGCAAGCAAGGTCTGTAAAGTCCTAGTGGTAACTAAAACTATTATATAACTGACATGGATCGAGATGTATATAAGGAAAGAGTAAGGGGAGAGAGTGTGTGTGTGTGTGTAAACTCTCTGGACAGTGGTAACTTGTAGCTCACAGTTACAAAAAGATAACTACTGTAAATCTACTATATGCAAAATCAGAAATCAAACATGCAGATGACGGGAAGGACAGCTAATAGAACCATTAAAAAAATCACAATTCTGGCCGGGCGCGGTGGCTCAAGCCTGTAATCCCAGCACTTTGGGAGGCCGAGACGGGCGGATCACGAGGTCAGGAGATCGAGACCATCCTGGCTAACACGGTGAAACCCCGTCTCTACTAAAAATACAAAAAACTAGCCGGGCGAGGTGGCGGGTGCCTGTAGTCCCAGCTACTCAGGAGGCTGAGGCAGGAGAATGGCGTAAACCTGGGAGGCGGAGCTTGCAGTGAGCTGAGATCCGGCCACTGCACTCCAACCTGGGCGACAGAGCGAGACTCCGTCTCAAAAAAAAAAAAAAAAAAAAAAAAAAAAAATCACAATTCCAACCACATGTGGTGGCTCACGCCTGTAATCCCAACACTTTGGGAGGCGGAGGTGGGTGGATTGCTCGAGGCCAGAAGTTTGAGACCAGCCTAGCCAAAAAGGCGAGACCCCATCTCTTCTAAAAATATAAAAAACATTAGCAGGGAGTGGTGACATGCCTGTAGTCCCAGGTACTTGGGAGGCTGAGGTGGGGAAGCCTGCTTGGCCCTGGGAGGTAGAGGCTGCAGTGAGCCATGATTGCACCACTGCACTCTAGCCTGGGTAACAGAGCAAGACCCTGTCTCAAAACAAAACAAAATATGAAATTCACTCTGAGAGAAGATAAGACATTTAAAGAAATAACTGATACAAAGCAGACGGTAGTAAGTGTTTTTAAAGATGTACAAATACAAGATGAAGACGGTTCAGAGAAGTTGGGATTCATTCATTCATTGTGAAGGGGGTGGGGCTGGAAAATATTTTAAGAGATTCATGGGTAGGGTTTGGATTTGCAGGGATGAGAATGTGGAGTAGGAGGGAGGAGATTGCAGGTGGAGACACAGAGTGAGCCAGGCACGGAGGTGAGAATAGTAGATGTTTCCACTTTCTGACACTTAGAGTGATACCCACATACAGACATTCACACACTTTTCTTCTCTGTTCCCATTCCTGGGAAAGAAGCCATGGGCCATCCCTAGGGAAGACGATCCTCTTGTGGAATTGAGATTTGGCTGTAGACGTTGGTGAGGTTGTTCACTGCCCACTAGTTTAGCTGGGTTGTCACCATTTATGTGGCTTGTATGAATGAGGACTGTGGACAGTTGCTTTTGGACATTGAGATCCTCTCTGTTCCTTCCAGTTTCATCTCTGTGCCAACTTTTTTCAAGAAAATCCAGCTCCTCTTTCTCCTTTTGGTTCAATGATTACAGTTAAATCTGCAAAGCAAGTCATCAAGCCAAACAGCAAGCATTTCCGGACCACGGTTGGGAGCAAGGTACTGAGAATGTGTTTGAGAGTGAGGCTTCTAAAGGCAGGGCCAGGCCCTGGGGAGCCAGGGCACTCAGAGGACCCATATTCCAGGCCTGGACATGGATGGATGCTGGGGCTCTTCCAGTCTAACAGGCACTCCACTGCAAAAAGTTCGTCGTCATCATACTTCCCCCTCCAAGGCAGCACGCACTGGAGCGAACCACACTTTTGCACAATAACATGGTTTATTCAGTTCTCTGCTGTCTGGGAGTATTAGTGTTCTGTCCAGAACGGTAGGACATGCTGACAAACCACAGTCATGGACTGAAACCTTTCATAAAAGGTGTTTACGCATGAGGTTAACTTTTCTTCCTATTGAGTAACTTAACAAGGTTGGGCTGCGTTTTGCCGTGATGTAAGCAGTAAATTATTTCAGAGCCATGTTTGATCTCTAGCTTTGTTTCCTAGTTCCGCAGCTCTCTGTACTTGCTCATGGAGACCCTCAATGCGACAACGCCCCACTACGTTCGATGCATCAAGCCAAATGATGAGAAGTTACCCTTCGAGTAAGTTCTTATACAACTCACAGTGAAGATGCGGGGAGGCAGTTGCTGCCATAAAGTTGGAGAATTTGTTTCCAGTTGTCTTGAGATTTACCCTGTGTCTGGGTTTTTTTAGTGATTTAGAACAATGCTGCCCTTTACATAAAATGTTAGCTCAGCCCCTCTGGTTAAACCCCCTCATCTCCAGGGCTCAGCAAAAGGGCTAGATTTGAAAGAATCTTCTACAACTAAAGTTTTTGCAACTGAGCCAGAACCTGTTACTTGATTAAAAGGAGAATCAGTATGCGTGTTTGTAGAAGATCGTGGAAGGTCGGAAGATTTGTCCTCACACGTGATGGCATGAGGCATTATGCTTGTTCTCTGGGACCCCACAGAGGAGACCCAAACCCTGTGCATATAAGGTGTAACGAGTCCCTTGTAGCTTACTAGAGCTGAAAGAGGTGCCTAAAGGGGGATGAGCTGCCTATGGAGGTGGTGAGTGTGTCCGTGGGTCACCAGATGGGTGAGACCGAAGCTGCAGAGCCACCTGTTGGGTGTTTTGTGGAGGAAATTCAAGCATCAGTGGGTGCTTGGGCCAGGCGAGCTAGCACATTTCTTTCCACTTGGTTGTCGTTTGAAGCTCAACTCAAAGGCCGGTTCCCCCAAGGCCTTCTCCCTGCCACCTCCATCAGAGTCAGCTGCTCCTTTCTCTATATCCCACTGCACCTTTCTGGACTGTTTTGCAGAGGTGCTATTTTTCTTGGTCAGGCAATAGAAACGTACTAAGTACTGCTGGGTACCTGGCCCACGGTCACAGTCTAGGCGGGTCTGCTGTGCCTGCTTATGGGCATGTTGAGCAGTTACGTTGGCTTAACACATGATAATGTTGTCTTTTTTAAGATTTGACTCCAAAAGAATTGTTCAGCAGCTGCGGGCCTGCGGTGTTTTAGAAACGATTCGCATTAGTGCACAGAGCTACCCTTCCAGGTATGTTGTCCGTCCTTGTTTTGGGGGGGAAAAGTAGCCAACTTCAGAGCTATGCTGAGAACCAAGGACATGGCTGCCATGATTTTTGTCACATACTTTTGGCTTCTGTAAAGTGCCCCCAAGATTTTCCCACTGCCTTGTGGAAGTCCAGAAGAGGGTGAGAAATAGGCTTTGTGGGGGACGGAGGCCACCACCACCTCCTCACCCCATCACTGCATCTCGGCAGCTGCTGGCGACCCCGCTGCCTCCCCGGTGTGCTGGGGAAGACGCTGACTGGGAGAAGGAGCACGATTGCTGGGGCAGACAGTTGTGCTCAGGGTGGTCTTGGTAGTGTCCCAGGCAGGCAGGGTATCAAAGATCAGTGCCTTTATCCTCAGGACAGATTCCACCACCCCCGCCCTGTGACAACAGTGGCAGGTAAGGCAGTGGCATCCCCAGATACAACGCGCTTCCTCTGACACGCCTGGCTTTGATCCCCGTTGATTTTCCAGGTGGACATACATCGAGTTCTACAGTCGCTACGGCATTCTCATGACCAAGCAAGAGCTTTCCTTCAGCGATAAAAAGGAGGTGTGCAAGGCGGTTTTACACAGACTCATTCAGGTCAGTTTCCTCACCTCCTGCGATCGTGGTCTCCTTCCTGGAAGCACGTCTCCCAAACCTGCTGTTTTATCTTTGTCTCGGACGCTCAGGACTGTAATCATGAACGCCTGAGAGGAGAGAAAATGTGCCCGGAGCACTTGTCTGCTGGGGAGACTGTAGCAGAGCGTTCAGTGGGCCATGAGTCCCTGTTAGGGACCCACATCCGAACCCTGGCCTCCCCAGTATCCTTGTGTCCTGCTTTGCTCTCCCACCATCCAACCCAGTCCTCTGTGGACCAGGCTTATAGGATATGGTCAACTGGGGTTGTCGCCAAGCCACGTGGGCTCCAGGCATGGTGCCCAGTGTGGACTGACATCATTGCTGCAGTGATGAGTTGTGATGGGAAGGAGATGGGAAGTTACAAGGTCCAGCAAAAGGGATGGTGAAGAGAACCCAAAATGAAGACAGAAAACCAAACTTCCCCAGTTTCTTCTACTCCGATGTAGAGACCACGAGTGAGCGGCTGAGGTTCTCCGGCAGCCGAACTGAGAATTGCCACAAATGACACCCCCCTTCTCACACACAGAGGGATTCCTCAGCCTAAGTCCCATTTCTCCCTCCAGGGTGACTTGAAACAAACAACTCAAAGTATACATTTCTAGATCATGATGTGAGTTTTTCTGCCTTAAATGTCAAAATCACAATATTTCTGGTACCTTTGAATCCCTAAAGGTCTTTTCCAAATACTGTACTGTAGAAAATCTGAAAGATTTTAATTCTAACTGTATCATTTTTCTCTTCCAGGATTCTAATCAGTACCAGTTTGGTAAAACCAAAATTTTCTTCAGAGCAGGACAAGTGGCTTATTTAGAGAAACTTCGATTGGATAAACTGAGGCAGAGTTGTGTTGTGATACAAAAGCACATTCGTGGCTGGCTCCAGAGGAAAAAATTCCTCCGGGAGAGACGAGCCGCCCTGATAATCCAGCGGTACTTCCGGGGTCAGCAAACCGTGAGGTGTGTTGGAATCAAGGAACACATGTGGAACTGTGGGGCTTTCTGTGCTGATTATCTCCAGGGGGAGGACCCATCAAGGACAAGGGACCCTTCTCTTGTGACCCAGGGTGCAGACATGCAGGGGTCCCCTTGGTGGTCATGAGCACTGGGGCAAGAAGGGTTCATCTCTCAGGGGCAGTAGTGCTGGCTCTGCCTGGCGTCTATGTGGTGAGCCGACACCCAGGGCCCTGCAGGGACGAAGCCCTGGTGAGAGTGTTACTGAGGAGAGTCAGGGTTCTGGAAGCTCAGGGAGAGGCCCGGGGCCCCTTTCCTGTGGGAACTGAAAATGCCTAAGGCCAGCAAGGTCCTAGTGAAGATCCAAAGGACAGATGTCAAGAATAGCCAGTGATCAGCCTGCCAGCAACAGGTGGGGTGCACCATGGCAGAGGGGGTCCCTGGCAAGGCGTGGCAGCAAACCAATCGCAGAACCCCTGAGCAGGAAGACCACAGCAGCCCCAGCCAAGCCAAGGGCTGAGGGGAGGGCGATCCACCAGCTGTACTGATCCCACCTGGCTTGAGGGGTCCTGAGAGTCCACACGACCCTGCCAGCCCACTGAAGGACCACGGTCATTTCGGGACTTCCAGGGCTTTGGCGTACCTGCTGGAAAGCACGAGACCAGGGTGCCCCTAGATAAACTGTATGTTTCTCTCTGCCTGCCTTGCCCCTTCCTTGGGATGCTGTGAGGATGCTTGAGAAGGCTGGTGTTCAGGATCAGGCTGCATCTGCAAGCCTGACTTCTTCCTGAGCTGGAGGATGACCAGTGGCAGCCTCTGGCCTTCTCTGCATGACCAGCGTGGTGTGGCATGGACACACGGCTGGGCTGGCTCGCCCTCCTGTGCTTCTGGGCCCAGTTGATAACAGCAGTCTCTGGGGAAGGAAACCATAGTTATCTTCCCTGCCAAGGCTATGCTCCCTTCCTATTTGGGGCTCACCAGGGCCTGATCATCCTGCCCTGCTGGCCTCTTGCCTGTCCCACTGATTCCATCCCACTCCTGCCCCCAGTTTAGCTCACAGCATCACCTACCTTGTACTCTGATGGCACCATGCTCCACCTCCCACCTCGTTCCCATCTTCCTACATCAAAGCCTGATTGAGCCACTGCCCTGCACCTGCCTTTAAGGCCCCTGTTTCCTACAGAATAGCATTCAGTCTCTGACGTGATATTCAAAGCCCTCCATAGCGTGGGTGCATTCATAAGAATGGAAGCTCCATGAGGGCAGGGGCCACACTTGTCTGGTCATCCATACCTGGACCTAGCATGGTGGCTGTCATAGAAGGTGTTCAACAAATATGTTTTTAAAATAACAAATGGTGCCCATCTATTTCTCTAACCTCATCGACGTCTAATTTTCTTCATCCATCTTATTCTAGTGATTCCAAACAAACTCCTTCTCTGAATATTTCAGGCACTGCAGGGCCTCCATGCCTTTACTCATGCTGGTCCCTCATCCCGAAAGCCTTTTCCAGCCTTCACTGTGTACAGACATCCTACTCTATCATGGGCTGGTTCACGTATCAGCTTTCCCCAAGCAGAATAACTGTTTTTTCCCCTCTCACTTACAGATCTAGTTAGTTGGTATTTTATTTTTCTTTTTTCTTGGCCGTTTATTAGTCTTTCTGTACGTGAGGCTGTCAATTCTAAAGGCAAGAACATCATCTTCACCTCTAGTCATTTAGACAGAGGCAGCAAACTTTTTCTGTAAAGGACTAGATGATCATTATTTAAGGCGTTGGGGTCTTGCAGTCTTTCCTGCTGCTGAGGCATGAAAGCAGCCATGGGTGATACGTAAATAATAGATGTGGCTGTGTTCCAGTAAAGCTTGATAAGGACAGGTGGTAGCCATCGTTGGCCAGCCCTGATCTGGAGCCTCCAGCACGATTTCTCACATGAATGAATGAGTACATGAATGAGCAAGTGCAGCGCCAGTGCACGGTCTCATCGTGGTCTCTGTGGGTACCTGAGTGGAGGCGAATCGATTGGCCTGAATGGGAAGCGTGTGAAAGTTCCCATGTGGTTCTTCAAGGAGAGGGAACTGGGGACTGGCCTCAAGTAGTCATTAGAATAAAAAACCGCTCACAGAATTTAATATGGAGAGGTGCAAAATATTTGAACCTTCCTTACTAAACACATGCTAGCCAAGCTTGCAGCTGTGTGATGGAAGTTGATGCTCTGTGGATAACAGACTCACTCTTCATCCTTGTTAATCAAGGAAAGCTATTACTGCAGTGGCCTTAAAAGAAGCCTGGGCAGCCATAATCATTCAGAAGCACTGCCGCGGGTATCTTGTTCGCAACCTGTATCAGCTGATTCGCGTGGCCACCATCACCATCCAGGCCTACACCCGAGGATTCCTGGCAAGGAGGAGGTATCGAAAGGTAAGGCCAACCTCTCTCTAGAGGAGGGGAGGGTGTACGGGCCTTCCTTACTGAGAACAAAACGGGCCAGGGAAAGACTCCACTGTGGGCAACCTCACTTTGTACAAAGTGTCAGCCAAGCCAGAAAGATTCTCCCAGGTGCTGTGGCTCAGGCCTGTAGTCCCAACTGGACATCAGGGAGCTGAAATGGGAGGATTCCTTGAGTCCAGGAGTTCGAGGCTGCAGTGAGCTATGATCATGCCAGTACACTGCAGCCTGCATGGGCAACAGAAGGAGACCCGGTCTCTCTCTCTCTCACACACACACACACACCAGTTGCACTGTTGGTTTCTCTTTCTCCCAGTTGGCCCCAAAGAGACCACACCAAAGGAAAGTAAATTTTAAGCCAATAATGTGCACCTAACAGACCTCACCTAAAGCAGAGACTGGGTGGGGAAAGAAACTTTAAAAGATCAGCACACTGGCCGGGCGCGGTGGCTCGTGCCTGTATATCCCAGCACTTCGGAAGGCCGAGGCGAGCGGATCACAAGGTCAGGAGATCGAGACCATCCTGGCTAACACAGTGAAACCCCATCTCTACTAAAAATACAAAAAATTAGCCTGGCGTGGTGGCGGGCACCTGTAGTCCCAGCTACTCAGGAGGCTGAGGCAGGAGAATGGCGTGAACCCAGGAGGCGGAGCTTGCAGTGAACCAAGATCGCGCCACTGCACTCCAGCCCAGGTGACAGAGCGAGACTCCGTCTCAAAAAAAAAAAAAAAAATCAGCACACTGCCACCCCACAGACTGTAGAGAGCTCTCACAGCCAGATGAGATGGCCAGGGTACCCAACTCCAAAGAAACAAATTCAAAGTAATATAAAATTGAACAAGTTTTCCACATACGCTATTCAAGATTTCTCCAGCACTAATACAAAGCACAATGAGATGGCTCTTTTAGAGGCAGCAGCTTTAGACCCAGAAAAGGGTGATGAGATGAGTTTCGTATGGCAAAAACGTAATTTTCTTTCTTTCAAGGAGGCAGGAGAGCAATAAGTGTTCACTTCAACATGAGGGGTGCATGATCCATCCTGTGAGTGGATGGGAAAGGGGTTGAGATAGGACAAAAGTTTGGTCTCAGAGATTTCACGGTCTTAATTTGGTCACTTCTGATGAAAAACTAAAGTTGTCCAAAGACACTTTAAAGCCGAAAACCTGAACAGTATATTTTGGGGGTTTCTTTCTGGCTAACTCCTAGAATCACCTTTTTAAAAAAAAAAAAAAAGTATTTATTTTTGAGACAAGTCTCACTCTATTGCTCAGGCTGGAGTGCAGTGGCACAATCATGGCTCACTGCAGCCTCAGCCTCCCAGGCTCAAGCAATCCTCCCATCTCGGCCTCCTGAGTAGCTGGGACCACAGGCGTGAGCCACCATGCCCAGCTAATTTTTTTTTTTTTTTTTTTGGTAGAGAATGAGTCTGTCTGTGTTGCCAAGGCTAGTCTTGAGCTCCTGGGCTAAAGGGATCCTCATGCCTCAGCCTCCTGAGTAGCTAGGACTACAGGTACATGCCACGACACCTGGCTAATTTTTGAAATTTTTTTGTAGAGATAAGGTATTGCTATGTTGCCTAGGCTGGTCTTGAACTCCTGGCCTCAAGTGATCTTCCCTCCTGGGCCTCCCAAAGCACTGGGATTACAGGTGTGAGCCATAAACGTGGCCCTAATGCAACTGTTTTGATGCTGAATATGACAAGTATCTTTTTGAAATAACTAGTCTCTCCAAAAAAGAAAAAAGAAAAAGAAAAGAAAAAAAGAAAGTTATAGCAGAGACCGATTTCTTGGGACATGGATTTCTCATACCATTTTTTACCAACAATAGTAAGACTGTTTTAGAGAAGCAGTTGGGGTCCAGTTTATATTTCACAAACCTTGTTTTAAAGATGCTGGAGGAACACAAGGCTGTGATCCTGCAGAAATACGCACGGGCGTGGCTGGCCAGACGCAGATTCCAGAGTATCCGACGATTCGTGCTCAATATTCAGCTTACTTACAGGGTCCAGCGTTTGCAGAAAAAACTGGAAGATCAGGTAGGTGCTCATAGTGCATCTTTTACATTTACTTTTTCTTACATGGCTGTAGTTTGTTCTGGAGCAGTTCCTCAGCTGTGCTATTAAAATGTATGCCCATGTTAGGAGGTTCAGTTTACGTGGACCACCTGAGCTAGGAAACAGAGGTACACTGTAAAGGGTTGCTGCCTGTGGTGGTGTAGGTTATATACTGCACGAATGTGCCCACCTCAGAGGGCAGGTGGGGCTGAGTCCAGCCTGGCTCCACTTGCCAAGGCAGGTGTCCCTGTGTGAAGTTGTGTTGCCTTGAGGCGAAGGTACCTCCTCATTTGCTCAAAGATGCTGTCTGCATGCCAAGCGTGCTGCCTCGGGGTGACATCAGCTCAGAGGAGCTGCCATTTCTAATTTTCCCACAGGTGCCTTAGGGTCTAGCTGCAGCCCTGCCTAGTTTGGGAAGATTCCCCATACCATTCCCACTGGTATGAAAAGAAACATCCAAGGCCAGGCGTGTTGGCTCACGCCTGTAATCCCAGCACTTTGGGAGGCCGTGCGGGGGTTGGCAGATCACCTGAGGTCAGGACTTTGAGACCAGCCTGACCAACATTGTGAAATCCCATCTGTACTAAAAATATAAAATTAGCCAGGCGTGGTGGTGCGTGTCTGTCATCCCAGCTACTCGGGAGGCTGAGGCAGGAGAATCACTTGAACCCGGGAGGCAGAGGTTGCGGTGAGCCGAGATCACGCCACTGCACTCCAGCCTGGGCAACAAGAGCAAAACTCCGTCTCAAAAAAAACAAAAGAAATATCCAGCTGGGCGTGGTGGCTCAAGCCTGTAATCCCAGCACTTTGGGAGCCTGAGGCGGGCGGATCACGAGGTCAGGAGATCGAGACCATCCTGGCTAACACGGTGAAACCCTGTCTTTACTAAAAATACAAAAAATTAGCCGGGTGTCGTGGCAGGCGCCTGTAGTTCCAGCTACTCGGGAGGCTGAGCCAGGAGAATGGTGTGGACCTGGGAGGTGGAGCTTGCAGTGAGCTGAGATTGTGCCACTGCACTCCAGCCTGGGCAACAGAGAGTGAGACTCCATCTCAAAAAGCAAACAAAAAAGAAAAGAAAAGAAACATCCGTATGCTGTGGAACACACAGTGTCCAGATCCATAAAACTCACTCGCAGGCTCTCCACTAATCCTGAGGCTCTCCTAAGGTGAGCTTTAAACTTAGCCCTAAGCTGTACCACAGGGGTCCTGAACGAAAGGGTGAGTGGGTGAACAAATAGATTTGGCATCTGATGGGGTTTCCCTCAGTGTGCTGTTGTGTAACAGGCCTGCCTGCTACACAGCTTGTTCAGAATAACACTTAAAAATAGCCGCAGCTGGCCAGGAGCAATGCCTGGTGGGAGTACCGATGCTGCCTGTCCTAGGTGTGTTAGTTTGCTAGGACTGTCATAGCAAAGTATCATTGCCTGGGTGGCTTAAACAACAGAAATTTACTGTCTTATGGTTTTGGAGGCTGGAGGTCCCATATCAAGGTTTTGGCAGGGTTGGTTTCTTCTGTGGCGTCTCTCCTTAGCTTGTAGATGGCTGCCACCTCTGTCTGTCTTCACATGATCTTCCCTCCATGCCTGTGTCTGTGTCTTAATCCCCTTTTCTTCTAAGGACACCAATCATATTGGACTAGGGCTCACCCTGAGGGCTGGTTTTACCTTAATTCCCTCTCTAAAGACCCTGTCTTCAAAACAGCGATATTCCTAGGTTCAGGGGTTAGGACTTCAACAAATGAATTTTGGGGGGCACAGTTCAGCCTGTAATAGTAAGGTTGTCCTGGTTCGCCAGAATTGGAAACTTCTCACATTAAAATAGCCACCAGTTTGGGAAGACATGGACCCAGCAAGATCTGCCATACTGTTTCACCACAGAGAAGATGCTAACAAATGTCAGTGCAGTGATAAGTGTGATCAGCGTAAAGCAACCTTTCAAATTTGGATGCCATGTCAAAGGCTATGAGAATTAAATGGAACAGTGTCTTTGTTTGAATAAACCTCTAAACATCTTAATTTTCTTTTCTCTAGAACAAAGAAAACCATGGGCTGGTGGAGAAGCTGACCAGCCTGGCTGCTCTTCGAGCCGGGGATGTGGAAAAGATTCAGAAGCTGGAAGCAGAACTAGAAAGAGCAGCCGCCCACAGGCGAAGTTATGAGGAGAAGGGGAAGAGATACAGGGATGCTGTGGAGGAGGTCAGCTGCGGGCGCGTGAGACGGGATGGAAACACGTGGACTCTCTGTGGAAAAGATGAACGCTGCAGGCTTTTCCTATGAAGTGGATTTCTGCAGAGCAAATCAGATTTTGCTATTAACTTCCATTACCAAAGGGAGCCTACCTTTTAGGAAGAGCGAGATCAGAGGATTAGAGTCTAGGGGAAGGGAGGAGGTTAATAAAGAGAGAAATGCAACATAGGTTTTCTCTTTCGAGTTTTGCAAAGTGATGATAGAGCCCTGGCTGACTGCTTCCCTTTCTTCCAGGATGACCTTGGTCTCCTCTCACTTGTCCTTAAGGTCTATGCCCTGGAAACATCTTCCCCTGAACAGCGATGCGAAGCTAGGGTAGGGTTTTCATCTCTGGTGTAGTGAAAACAGCAGTCAGCATAAAAACCAGATGCCCTAGATTCAAATCTTGCCTTTGTCTGGCTGGGCAGCCTTGGCTAAAGTCCCTTACCCTCTCTGAATTTTAGTTTCCTCATATAAAAAAATGAGAATAACAAAAAAGGACTGACAGAATTGTTGTGAGAATAAAATCATTAGATTAAATACTTTAGCCAAATGCCTACCATAATGAATTTTAGTTTCCTCCTATATAAAATGAGAATAACAAAAAGAGATTGACAGAATTTTGTGAGAATAAAATGGTCAGATGAAATAAGTTAGCCAAATGCCTGTGGTGAGTCCCTGCAAAAGTGTGAGCCAGTGTGTTCTAAGAAGGTGATCTTTATTACCATCCACTCTGCCGCATTTTGGGTTTTTGTTTTTTTTTTTTTTTTAGACGGAGTCTCGCTCTGTCACCCAGGCTGGAGTGCAGTGTGGTGGCACGATTGCAGCCCACTGCAACCTCTGCCTCCCGGGTTCAAGCAATTCTCCTTCCTCAGCCTCCCAAGGAGTAGCTGGGATTACAGGCACACACCACAACACCCGGCTAATTTTTTGTATTTTTAATAGAGGTGGGGTTTCACCATGTTGGCCAGGCTGGTCTCGAACTCCTGACCTCCAGTGATCCACCCCCGCTTGATCTCCCAAAGTGCAGGGATTACAGGCGTGAGCCACTGCACCCGGCCTCTGCTGCATTTTCAAAGTCCTAGCATCCAGGGTTGGTGGATTGGAGGCCCAGAAGACATCCCTTTGCCCTCCCCATGCCCCGGTGCTGGGTGCACCAACACTGCTGCCGTGGGCATCGCCAGCTGCCAGTCACCATCAGTCAGCACCACGGGCCTGCTGCCAGCCCAGCAGACACTTTACCAGGAGAAGCCAAAATGATAGGAATTCTGCTGCGCTCACACATCCTTCGTGAGTCATAACAATTGCAAAGTGTGAATCCCTTTACGCCATCAACTGCGTAATCGTAGCATATTCGATATATAAAGTCCCCTGGCTATTGAGAAGCTCGGCAAAAGGAAGAGGTATGTCCCTGACATTGAGGAGGTCTTGGATGTATCCTTTCTCCTTGTTTCAGCCCTTGCTGGCCAGGTCGGGAATAGTGTCACCTTTGAAGTCATGTTGAGCCCTTGCATGTGAAACTAATGGCAGCGTCTTACAGTGGGCTGGTGCTAGCTGTTATCTATGGACAGGAGCTGAGAAAAAATAAACTAATTTAAGAATATACATCTTTTTGCCAAGAAAGGCAATGGTGACAGCTTGAAGTGAGGTTTTCAAAAAAGTTTGTTTTTCCCCCTTCCCTCTGCTAGAAGTTGGCAAAGCTTCAGAAGCATAATTCAGAACTGGAAACACAGAAAGACCAAATACAGCTGAAGCTTCAAGAGAAGACTGAAGAGTTGAAAGGTAAAGCTCGGGGGGCACAAATCCAGACATTCACTGATTTAGTCACTCAGTAAACAGTACTGGGGGTGACCAGTTTTAGAACCAGGGGTCTCTGGTGTACACTTAGTTTAGTGAGACAATTTTTGCTCACAAGGAATAGCCATATTTAAGTCGTGGTAACTTTGCCCTACAGATTCGTCTGTTTTATTTCCGTCTTTTGTCAGACAGCACAGCAATTCCTCTCTGTGCCTCAGAACTTCCTGGGCCCTTTGCAAAGTGCAGATGGTCGGACCATGAGCCCGGAGCTTTTGCATCGGGAAATGGGTGTGTGTGTGTCTGTGTGTGCGCATGGGTGTGTAGTGGTGTCAGAGGTGGTTCAGATGTCTAATTTTAGAAAACTTTTATGGTAATCCTGATGTGCAGTCAGAGTAATGCTGTGGTCATGTTTGGTGCTCACCAAAGATTTGCAGAAAAAATTCAGATCTGTCAGAGTTAATTAGCCTAAGTGATACCCATGTCCTCTGCTACTGTCCTGCCCAGAGTGAAGGGCAGACCCTGGAACCAGTAGGTATCACTTCCTTTAGGGGTGTGGAACAGCTATGCTTAGCCTAGCTCTATACATTTGAGCTTTTCAGCTCAAATTCAACTTGACAATACTTACTTGCTGTATCCCAGAAAAGGCAACAGGCAACAGAGCCTGGCGGTCCCTGACCACATAGTTTAAATCACCACTGTCGGTGATCTTGCCTAGGGATCTCTTCCTTGAGCTCCAACGTGGGGGCGGCAGGAGCACGAGGGTTCAGGCCTGGGGATTCTGCACACACCTCCGGCCCAGCAGATGGTGGATATGATGGGAGCCAGAGGAGCGCAGAGCCCTGGAAGTTCAGGGCAGAGAGTGGGAGGAGCGAATGTTAGTGAAGAGGGAGTAAACAACCTGACACCAGGGCACTGGGGCAGGAAAGGCTGTGCCCTCCTGTTCCAGGTAGTGTGTGCCCTCCACCCTGTCTCTGTAGGGCTGATGGTGTGGGCACCGGAGCCATGCGAATGTCAGAGATGAACAGGAGCATGTCAGAGGTCCGGGAGTAAACCTTGAACCTGAGTTAGGAAAGGGTTTCCCCACCTCCACCCTTTTTATTACAGCACACTTCTCTTGGGTGGTGGTTGTGGGTTTTTTCCCCCCTAATTTCAAGTAGAATTTCCCACAAGGGCATTTACATTCTCAGGAATATAACCTGAAAATTATGTTTCTGAGACCATGTCGTGTTTGGGTGAGTAATTTTACATCCTCTTCCAAAAAGTCCATGAAAACTTTCAACGTAATATTTATAAACTGCTTATCCTGTGCGCCTCCTCCCTCCTGGCAAACAGTGTTTTGTGAGCAGCACCAACCTTTACCTATGCTTGTGACTTAAGACCCAGGGATGCTCTCAAATGCTGTTTCCCCTTTTTGAGATTCTGACTTAACATGGACATAATCCCGTTCCCCTTGAGAAGTAAATCACATTTGAGCAGCTTCTGTAGCCCATCTGCAAATGGCCCAAGATGGTAAGCACTAGAATTAAAGCCAGTGCTTTTGGTTAATTGAAAATTGAAGTTATATCAAACGTGTTGGCTTCTAAATTAAAGCTTGAGCATTTCCCCCAGTATTTCCTGGCTGCCTCACAACGTTCTGAAGCAGTCATTTTGATTCAGAAACATTTGGCACTACGTTAGACAAACTATTAAACCGTTGGCTTAAAAAAAAAAAGTAATTTGGAGAATCGCTATCGACACTGCACCCCGAGGACTCCTTCTGGGGCGGGGCTCAGAGGTGAGGTAGATCTCAAGGATGAGACGTCAGCTCAGTGCAAACAGGAGCATCGCCGTTTGAGGGGCTGCATTGCCTTTCTCCCATTTTGATGATCCCTGTGGCATACGGGTGTGTTGGGAATGTGGGGTTGTCACAGCCATGGAACGTCCTGCCCCTCGGCCTGCAGACTTTGTGTTTGCAACTCTTGTATTTCAGTGCTAACAGCTGCCTTTTTGTACTTCCTCTTTCCCAGACATTTAATTATTTTCTTGGTTATCACAGATGAGTGGTTCTCAGCTTTGCTGCCGCCTCACCCCCAGACATTTGGCAATGTCTGGAACCAATTTGGGTTGTCACAACCGGAGCAGAGGTGCTGCTGGCTTCTAGAGGGTAGAAGCCAGGGATGGGCAGCCCCCTCTCCACAGCAAAGAATTATCCAGCCCATAGTAGCAATAATGCCAAGACTGAGAAACCTTGTCACAAATGGATCATTTTCTTCCCAAATGGTTTCTATTTATTTTTAATGATATTCATTGTCTCAAAGCCAATATATCTATTTTAATAAATAACAGACCAATAAAAGTACTATAAATGAAACTATTTATTGATAATTCCAACCTGACAAATTTGTGAGAATTATTATTTTGAAACCCCCTCATCTGTATTTCTTGTTTATAAAAAATGACCTATGCTCTCATTGTAAGTCCTGTTAATAATAAACATCACATGATTGTCCTGATAGTCTCACTTTCTGAAACATAACATGAAACAATCAAGGCATTGATTTGGCAGACATATCTCAAAAAGCATTCTCTTTTTACAGAAAAAATGGACAACCTCACCAAGCAGCTCTTTGATGATGTACAAAAGGAAGAACGGCAAAGAATGTATGGAATCTAGTTTGCCTTAAAGCTACTTTCTTTCTTCTCTCTGTGCTGTTTTATATTTTCCATCTCAGTTTGCATATAGGAGATCACAGATACAAGAAAGTGGGGTGTGACTATTTTTAGGAAGTGAGATTAGAGATTTATGAGAGCTAAGTTCCACAATGTGTGCTATCAGATGCTGAACACATTCTAGAGTAGTCCATAAAGCTTCTGCTGGGTGGGTACACTGGATCACCAGGAACTAATTACTTTCTTTCTCTTTTTCTCTCTCTCTCTCCTTCCTTCCTTCCTTCCTTCCTTCCTTCCTTCCTTCCTTCCTCCCTCCCTCCCTCCCTCCCTCCCTGCCTCCCTCCCTCCCTCCCTGCCTCCCTCCCTCCCTTTCTCTTTCTTTCTTTCCCTCCCTCCCTCCCTTCCTTCCTTTCCTTCCTTCCTTCCTCTCCTTCCTCTCCTCCTTTTCTTTTTCTCTTTCTTTCTTTTTTTTTACTTTATTGCTAAGACAGTGCAAAATTCAGAGACTACCACCACCTTCAACTTCCACCAAATCCAAGCATTAAGATTCTTGCCTAGGAAATAAACCTCCCTCCCTTCCTTCCCCACCTATTGTACTTGTTAGTTTGTCTTTTATCCCAAGAGATAAGGTAAATAACGCACCTCACAGAAATTAAGGCAGGTGCCTGACCTTGTACTGTACCAGCCCACCTTTCCTATCTCAATAGCAAACCCTTTGCTAACCTCCAAGGACTCCAATCTGGGCTTCCCTTCTCTTAAGTAGTCAAAGGTTTTTAGATCTCAAAGTTGGGGTGCATGGCAGGGTGCTGGAAAGAGATAGAACATTCTTGGCACATCCCTTTTGGGGTCTAGAAAGTTCAGGTCTGCCTGTGGTGGTAGGATACAAACCTTTCCCAAGCAGTGAGCAGGACAGCCTGGGTCTGGGTGAGGAAATAGGATTCTAAAGAGAGGAGGGAATATCCCAGAATGGCTCCAGGAGTTAACAGATATATGACGTGTTTCATGATCCTCCATCAGTTTTTAAATATGTCTAATTAACTCATTTACCTAGAAAAATGTAATTATCGATGAGTGTTTCATGTGAGGAGAAGAGCTCGGCTCTTGGCATCTGTCCACGTGCAGGGACCACTTGGGAGTGATCATTTCAAGCTGGGGGTTTGGAGAGCCAGGCTGAGGCCGGGTCATTGTGGGCTGTTTGCAGTCCTAACTGGGTCAGGGCAAGGCAGGCCAGTGAAGGGAGTAAAACTCTTCACCGTCTCTAGGCCCGTGTTCTGCCTCCTCGTTAGCACTCGTCTGTAGCTTGGTTTAGCCCTTGGTCAGCCAAGTGGGGAATTCCTGGCCCCTGTCACAATTCTCAGGAGGCTCCAAGAGGCCTGCAGTCTGTGGGCACCCTCCTGACCAGCTCCGTCTGTGGGTCTAAGATTCTTTTCACATAAGACTTCTGGGCCAGGTGTAGTGGCTCATGCCTGTAATCCCAGCACTTTGGGAGGCCGAGGCGGACAGATCACCTGAGGTCAGGAGTTTGAGACCAGCCTGGCCAATGTGGTGAAACCCCGTCTCTACTAAAAATACAAAAATTAGCCGGGCGTGGTGGCAGATGCCTGTAATCCCAGCTACGCGGGAGGCTGAGGCAGGAGAATTGCTTGAACCCGGGAGGCGGAGGTTGCAGTGAGCTAAGATCGCGCCACTGTACTCCAACCTGGGTGACAGAATGAGACCTTGTCTCCAAAAAAAAAAAAAAAGGAAGACTTCTGGTTGCAGTTTTCTTTTTCAAAGGCATTTTACTGGCCTCTTGGGAGCACTGCAGTTTTTTTAAAAACCTGGAAACAAAGTTTGTTAATATCTATAGAAAAAAGAGGCTATGTGCAGTGGCTCATGCCTGTAATCCCAGCACTTTGGGAGGCCAAGGCAGGCGCGGATCACCTGAGGTCAGGATTTTGAGACCAGCCTGGCCAACATGGCAAAACCCCGTCTCTACTAAAAATACAAACATTAGCTGGGTGTAGTGATGGGCACCTTATAATCCCAGCTACTCGGGAGGCTGAGGCAGGAGAATCACTCGAACCCGGGGGGCAGAGGTTGCAGTGAGCTGAGATTGCGCCACTTCACTCCAGCCTGGGTAAGAGAAAAATCCGTCTCAAAAGTAAATAAATAAATAAGTAAAATCTATAAAAAAGAAATCAAACAAATTTATTGGGAATGTGGCTCTCTTTCTCAGAGTTTTTCCTTTTGTGCTATAAAAGCGAGTTATAAAAGGAACTGAGATGACATCTCAGCAAGTAGAATGATTTAATAAACTCATAGAGCTTCTGGCACCACTTCAGGGCCCCTGTGGGCTATGCTGGTTATGTATCTCTTTTCAATTATTTTCTTAGTTAATCATCAAATTTTTAATTGAGCAACCTTCTAGAGCAGTTGGATTTACACACACTTTTGGGCACCTGGATTAGCTGCCGTTTATTCCAGAATTTTTGAAGGGCTAGACCCCTGGACATATCAGATAGCTCTATTGTTTAGGATCAAACAAACTCCCAGCAGGATCCTTGGAACGAGGAAGGAGCCAGGACTTGGCAGAGCACGCCAAGATATTCTCTGAGGGAAAATGGCCCTTCCAGGGGACTGCATGGAACCCCGGGGGATTGGGAATACAGTGTCCCAACAACCAGTGTGTATTTTAAGTTCAGGCTCCCTATCCAGTGTCCCCGGTGCGTGATCATTGTAAAGCTACACCTTTCAGATCAGGAGATGTAAGAAGTTGCCTTTAACCTAAGAGAAGAGGAAACAGTTTGCTAAAAATAAGGCCATTATCTGCTGGAACTGTCACAGTAGGTCCTAATTAACTTGTTTCCTCTTGTTGTTTTCAAAACAATGTATTCTAATTCAAAGTAAAGACTGTAGAGACAATTCTAAATTATTTTCTTCTTTTTTTGGGGGGGTGGGGGGAGTTGTGGGGAGGGTCTCCCTCTGTCACCCAGGTTGAAGTGCAGTGGCACAATCTCAGCTCACTGCAGCCTGGACCTCCTGGGCTCAGGCAATTCACCCACCTCAGCCTCCTGGGTAGCTGGGACTACTGGCGTGTCCCACCACACCTGGCTAATTTTTGTATTTTTAGTGGAGACGGGGGGGGGGTCTCTCTTGTTGCCCAGGCTGGTCTCGAACTCCTGGGCTCAAGGGATCCGCCTGCCTTGGCCTCCCAAAGTGCTGGGATTACAGGTTTGAGCCACCACACTCAGCTCTAAATTATTTTCTTCTTTTGCTGCCTAGGCTTCTTGAAAAAAGTTTTGAACTGAAAACACAAGACTATGAGAAGCAGATTCAGTCTTTGAAAGAAGTAATTAAAGCTCTCAAGGATGAGAAGACGCAACTCCAACAGCTGGTAGAGGAGGAGCACGTCACTTCTGATGGCTTGAAGGCAGAAGTGGCCCGCCTGAGCAAGCAGGCCAAGGTAGAGCTGCTCTCACGTTCAGCCCTGCCCTCTGGTTAAGTCATTTGATTGCAATTCCAAGTTCCCACAGATTAGACAGCTAAAAGCATCTGGGTAAAGGCCACAGGCAAATAGAGCCTGATTCCTTCAGTCCTTCCAACTGTGAACCTCCAGGCTGCCTTTGATTTAGCAATCATTGTATTCTATATTTTAAAAGTCAACTTTCTAACTTTTTTGAAATTTCATTTATGTAAAGTTATTTAAATATGTTGATGTAGAGAACACTTCCAAATTAGACTGTAAATTGAGGTGAATCCTTATTATATAATCCATCACTATAAATCTATAAACATCTGCATTAAAGTTAAGTTACCTTATTATCAAAATATTTCATTTAAACCGTTACTAGAAAATTTACAAAAACAATTATCCAATGCAGAGTGTGGTGAATGTAGTTAATAAGAGCATATTGTACATTCAAAATTGCTATGAATAAATCTTAAATGTTCTCACCACAAAAAATGACAAATATTTGAGGTGATAACATGTTAATCAGCTGAATTATTTCACATTATATTCATAAATTATAACATCAATAAAGCTATAAATTGTCAATGGTAGAAATTTTTAAGTAAATTTTTATAAACCTGAGAGGGAAAAATCACATAGAATTTTTAAAACTGCATAATCATACATAAAAATATTGTTACCTGTATTTATCATTAAAAATATATAAATATTCCTGGGCAATTTAATAAAAAGCTCTTGAGAAAAATGAATGAATGGATGAAGTAATGATCCATGCTTGGACAATCAAGGCTTAAGTGAATTGTTTCCCTACCAGAAAACTTAAACCTGAGTGTACCTGTGTTCTTAAATGTAAGACATTTCATCATTAAGTTGGAAAGCTTTTAAGCTTCTACTAAATATGTGAAATACATATTATCAGAGCAGGATTATGCAAATATTCTTTGTAATTGTCACGAACTAGCCATGTGTGGTTTAGAAGAGCTTTTGGAATTGCATCCGGGTGGACACTGAATTCCATAGCTGAAGTATGTGTCTTCTCTGGGCCCCGTCCCCTATTGTTTAAAAGTAGGAGGTCAGAGCACATGATCAGGAAGGGTCACTTTCATTCCTGTGACTGCTTCACTCTTAGCAGCCACATGAGCCTGATGTCAGTCTGTGGGAGTCCTGTCATCTGGCTGAAGTCTGAGGTCCGTATCTTAAATGTAGGAAATTGTGAGACTGCGCTTGCAGAGAGGTACCAGTAGGTGTCACTCACTTTCTCTTTGGTAGCTAAGACTGGGTAACTCTCCAGTGTGATCTCTTAAGATTACTCTGGGCTGGGCGTGGTGGCTCACGCCTGTAATCCCAGCACTTTGGGAGGCCAAGGCGGGCAGATCACGAGGTAAGGAGATGGAGACCATCCTGGCCAACACGGTGAAACCCCGTCTCTACTAGAAATACAAAAAAAAAAAAAAATTAGCCAGGCAAGGCGGCACGTGCCTGTAGTCCCAGATACTCGGGAGGCTGAAGCAGGAGAATCGCTTGAACCTGGGAGGTGGAGGTTGCAGTGAGCTGAGATCACACCACTGGACTTCAGCCTGGGTGACAGAGCAAGACTCCGTCTCAAAAAAAAAAAAAAATTACTCTGGGTTTTTGATTTTTGTTTTTTGGGGTTTTTTTGAGACAGAGTTTTGCTCTTGTCACCCAGGCTGGAGTGCAATGGCAGCATCTTGGCTCACTGCAACCCCACCTCCCAGGTTCAAGCAATTCTCGTGCCTCAGCCTCCCAAGTAGCTGGGATTACAGGCATCTGCCACCATGCCCGGCTAATTTTTGTATTTTTAGTAGAGACAGGTTTTTACCTTGTTGGTCAGGCTGCTCTCAAACTCCTGACCTCAGGTGATCCATCCATCTCAGCCTCCCAAAGTGCTGGGATTACAGGTGTGAGCCACTGCGCCCTGCCCAGGGAAGTTAATTCTACTGATACAACCCAGTAGGTCTGGCATGTTGAGTAGTTAAGCATGCCTCAAGGCCAAGCTGTGTGGGCAATGATGGTTTAACAAGATCTTAGCTAAGAAAGAAACTGCAGTGAGGATGTCTTGCGTAGACAGGCGACGCCGTAATTGTGTTCCCTTTGTCTCATATAAAGCATAATTGCTGTTTTTTTTCTTTACCTGATTCCGTCGTTGCTGTGATTCAGACAATCTCTGAGTTCGAAAAAGAGATACAGCTACTTCAGGCACAGAAGATAGATGTGGAGAAACATGTGCAGTCACAAAAACGGGAAATGAGAGGTAATAAAAATATGAGTCTCTTAGTCCATGGGTGTAGACTGAATTTATCATAGCTGTGTCACTGCTAAGGAAACGTGTCCTTTGGTATGAATTTGGTTGGACATATGGTAGATTGCTTAGTTGGTAGGCTGAATAGCTAGTTGGTTGAATACCTGGAAGATTGGTTAGTTGGTTGATTGGATAGCTGGTGAGTTATTTAGCTGGAGACTGTGAAGCTAGAAAACTGGGCCCTGGAAAGGGAATGGGAAAAGATAAATCATCCACAAATGTAATGTATACAACTCTGCCTTTTCCTTTCAGAAAAGATGTCGGAGATCACCAAACAACTTCTCGAAAGCTATGACATTGAAGATGTAAGAAGCAGGTAATCATTTTTGCATTATCAAACATTTTAAGACATGTAAAACGTGAGAGAGATGATAGATTTTATCTTCCTTATTTTGCAGGCTCTCTATGGAAGATTTGGAACATTTAAATGAGGATGGAGAACTTTGGTTTGCTTATGAAGGACTGAAGAAAGCAACACGGTTAGAAATTCTCCTCAGGGTTCCTCTTTATTTTTCAGAGATAATAAATAGACGATTGGAAAGTCCAAAGTGTACCTTAACATAGATTGATACACAAATTCCTTAGAGTAGAATGACCAAATAACCGCTAGAAATATTTCTCTGAGAAGTAAGTAATTAGCTTATTCATGAAGAGCAATCTCTTCATGGGATAAAATGCCTAGTAAAAAACCCCATAACCCATACAGTGGAAACCGATTATCAAATAAGTTAGTTAGTGTTGCCAGAGATATGTAGATACGTTTAAATTTAAGGCATGTGTTGCATGTATTTAAATTAATTTTATTTTTTACAGCAGTTTTAGGTTCACATCAAAGTTGAGCAGAAATATAGAGAGTTCCCATATACCCATCACGACACGCACACAACCTCCTCCACGATCAGCTTCCCAAACCGCAGTGGTGTGTTTACTATGACTGATGAACCAACACTGACACGCCACTGTCACCCAAAGTCTATGGTTTACATTAGAGTTCACTCTTGGTGTACATTCTGTAGGTTTTGACAAATGTATAATGATTCGTATCCACAACTGTAGTATCATACAGAACATGTTTTGTTTTGTTTTTGAGGTGGAGTCTCACTCTGTTGCCCAGGCTGGAGTGCAGTGGCAAGATCTCCGCTCACCGCAACCTCCACCTCCGGGTTTCAAGCGATTTTCGTGCCTCAGCCTCCTGAGTAGCTGAAACTATAGGCATGCGCTACCACACCCGGCTAATTTTTGTATTTTTAGTAGAGACGGGGTTTCATCATGTTGTCTAGGCTGGTCTCAAACTCCTGACCTCAAGTGATCCACACACCTCGGCCTCCCAAAGTGTTGGGATTACAGGTGTGAGCCAGTGCGTCCGGCCAAAATTTTTTAACTATTAAGAGTGTAAAAATACAATAACCTCTAAAATTTTCTTCATTGTTAACTACATGTTAACCCCCACATAATGCTTCCTAACTAGCTAGAAGATTTTGTAATTAGGCATTCCTGATTCTGTAGCCGGTAACCGTGAGTGCATAAGTAAACTTGATGTACTTTGTGCACGGCTCTTGTGGGTCTTCATAACTGCCTCCCAGCCGTCCGTACAGCAGAATAAAGGCCATGCAGTTTATTTCCTGACCCTTCCTTTAATAGTGTTTTGGAGAGCCATTTCCAGTCTCAGAAGGAGTGCTACGAAAAGGAGATTGAAGCTTTGAATTTCAAAGTGGTGCATCTAAGTCAAGAAATCAACCACCTGCAGAAGTTATTCAGAGAAGAAAATGACATCAATGAAAGCATCCGTCTTGAAGTGACCAGGCTAACATCAGAGAATATGGTATGGTCTCAGCCAGGGGCCCCAGTCATGGCCATCATACTAGAGATGTTCTTTGTCAGTGGAGTCAAATTCAATTTCTTGGCAGTAAAAGAGTGGATATAAATTACTTTTTCCAGAAGTGAAATAACTCAGTCTGGTGATTAAACTATAAAATGACTGCAGACCAGAGAGCACTCTGATACAAGAGTGTGTGTGTTCACCACAGGATGGGTGCAGGTGCTGTGATTGTGTGTGTGTGCGTAAGTGTGTATGTTTTAAAGTCTGTATTTAAATCCAGCCCTAACCCCTTGGAAAGTGACCACAAAATTGAAGGGTAGCTCTTGAAACAGGAGTGTGTCAGAAGGCCAGTCCTGCTCATGCTTCAAATCTCATTTTTTTTTTGTTTTTTTGTTTTTTGAGACAGAGTCTCACTCTGTCACCCAGGCTGGAGTGCAGTGGCGCAATTGCAGCTCACTGCAACCTCCACCTCCCGGGTTCAAGCAATTCTCCTACCTCAGCCTCCCAAGTAGCTGGGATTACAGGCGCCCACTACCACGCCCAGCTAATTTTGCATTTTTAGTAGAGACAGGGTTTCACTATGTGGGCAAGGCTAGTCTTGAACTCCTGACCTCGTGATCTGCCCGCCTCGGCCTCCCAAAGTGGCATAACCCACCGTGCCTGGCCTTCAAATCTCACCTTTTCAAGGGCTTCCTCTTCCATGACGTGCATTCCTAACCACTGCATTTGTCTCATTCTTTCTTCCAACTCATGCCTACTGGCCTGAAGAAATGCTTTAGGAATCTCCTCACTCAAAAAGCCATCTCTGTCTTAACCCCACACTCCTGTGGCCATCACCCATTTCTTTGGTGAGTTAGTCAGACTTACGAAGACCCTCTAGGCATACTCCCTTCGCACAGCTCCCATTCACTGCCCACCACCCCATTCTGTCGTGTGCCCCCACCACTGGCTGACTCTGCCTGCACAGAGCTGAGCACTAAGGGTTCCTTTGCACCCTCATCTTACTGTGTCTCAGCAGCCCCTGGCGATGCTAATCTTGCCCTCTCCGCCTTGTTCTCTCGGCTTCCAGGATGCCCAGCTCTCCCAGCATTCTTGTCCTGCCTCACTGGCTGCTGCTCCCCTACTTCCTTACTACCCTCTCCTCTCCCTAAACTGGGAGTGTTAGGAAATCTCGGGGCTGTAGCAGCAGTTGAGGACCAGGGGTGGACACAGGGAACAGTAGTGGGGGACCTTTACACCTTTGTTTTTTCCTTGGATGAAATTTCAATGAGGAATTTGCAATGAGACACAATTGCACAGTCAAACAAGTACAGATGCTCCTCAGCTTACCATGGGGCTATGTCCCAATAAACCCATCACTTGTTGGAAGTATTGTATTGTAAGTTGAGAATGCATATAATACACCTAACCTACCAGGCATCGTAGCTTAGCCCAGCCTGCCTTAAACGTGCTCGAAATGCTTACATTCGCTTGCGCTTGGGCAAAATCATCTAACACAAAGCCTATTTTTATAATAAAGTGTTGAATATCTCATGTAATTTATCAAATACTATACTGTGAAAGTGAAACACAGAATGGTTGAATGGCTGCTTGAAGTACGGTTTCTACTAAATGCGTATCACTTTCACACCATCACAAGCTCAAAAAATAGTAAGTTGAGCCATCGTAAATCAGTGGCTGTCTGTATTCTTCATTTAGACTTCGGAGGCCTGGATCTCAGCCACTCAGTTTTAAAATGAGCATGTTTATAAACTTGGGGAAGGAAAAAAAAAAAAACAACCCTGTTTAACCTAACTGCGGGTAGAGGCAATAGACGTGTAAGGAAATATACAGATAGGGACAAAGGATTGAGAAACTTACTGGGTGATTTCAGACCTCTACTAACAGAGCAGTGCGTGTCCTGGAATTCAAAAGTTGCAGTGGGACCCTTTGAGATGGCTTTTCCTGTTCCTAGATGAGGAGATGATGGCTCTGGGCTTGGACCAAAGAGGTCGGCTGCCATTTCTTCACCTAATTCCTTCCTCAACTCAACACAGGATTTCTATACATGTACGCATCCTTCTCTTGCTATCGTAGCTGTATGAGAACTGCTTCCCCTGAGCATACTGGTATTTCCTGAGACTATATAGGTTTTGAGGTTAAAAAAAAAAAAAGAATGTTAATCCAGTCTAATGTCGTGGCTCTCTTACACAATTATATGTTCCGCAGGCTGAATGCCAAGACAGTTTAGTTTGCTTCTAATATTTTAAAGTTCATAGATCAAAGTATTTTATATTCTAATATTTCTAATTCTTCTCTAAAGATGATCCCAGACTTTAAACAGCAAATTTCAGAATTGGAGAAGCAGAAGCAAGATCTTGAAATCCGCCTGAATGAACAAACCGAGAAAATGAAAGGTAACTGAAACCGTCATGAACCTGCTTGTAGAAAATGGTTTCCCATACCCAGGAAGTGACACTGAAATGTCCTCGTACTCGGGGGTTTTAAACTCTGGTTCTCCAGGGGGCTGGGCAGGTAACAAATGTGAGAAGGGGGCCAGTTGAAACATATGGGAAGGTATGTAGGACATTTGAAGGAGGTGCAGGCTGAGTGCAGTGGCTCACACCTGTAATCCCAGCACTTTGGGAAGCAGAGACGGGTGGATCATTTAAAGCCAGGAGTTCGAGTTTGAGACCAGTCTGCCAGTCTGGGCAGTATGATGAAACCTCATCTCTACAAACTTTTTTTTTTTCTTTTTGAGACTGAGTTTCACTCTTGTCGCCCAGGCTAGAGTGCAATGGTGCGATCTCTGCTCACTGGAGCCTCCACCTCCCAGGTTCAAGCGATTCTCCTGCCTCAGCTTCCTGAGTATATGGGATTACAGGCACCCACCACCATACCCAGCTAATTTTTTTTTTTTTTTTGTATTTTTAGCAGAGATGGGGTTTCGCTGTTGGCCGGGTTGGTCTTGAGCTCCTAGCCTCAGGTGATCCACCTACCTTGGCCTCCCAAAGTGCTGGGATTATAGCCAAGAGCTACTGAACCCAGCCCAAAAAATTTTAAAACATAAGTCAGGCATGGCAGTATGTTCCTGTAGTCCCAGCTGTGTGGGAGACTGAAGTGCAAGGACCACTTGAGCCCGGGAGGTGATGGCTGAAGCGAGCCATGATTGCGCCACTGCACTCCAGCCTGGGTGACACACTGAGATCCTGTCTCTGAAAAAAATACAGTAAAATAAAGAGGCTTCTGCCTCCAAGCTCCAGTGATTGTTGCCCAGTGGGAATGTGAGCCCAGTATTGCTAGAGATGCCTATTTTTAAAGAAAACCCAGGAATCCAGATTTTTATGTGAAATATTACAATTTTTAAATGATGGTTTAAAAATGTTTAAACATTGTTCAGACCAAATAAAAGTTAATCTCTGCCTGGATACAGTTTAAGACAAGCTTGTTCAAGCCACAGCCCATGGGCCACATGTAGCGTAGGACAGCTTTCAAGGAGGCCCAACACAAATTCGTAAACTTTTTTAAAACGAGATTTTTTTGCAATTTTTTTTCAGCTCATCAGCTATTGTTACTGTTAGTGTATTTTATATGTGGCCCAAGACAATTCTTATTCCAATATGGGCCAGAGAAGCCAAAAGATTGGACACCCCTGGTTTAGGACTTTTAAAAATTGAAAATAATACCAAACCCAAATCAGAATGCAGTGATATGCCCCCCCCCACTCCTCACAAAGTATTGACAGTTCTTCTTATTATAGGAAAACTAGAAGAATTGTCTAATCAGTTAAATCGCAGTCAAGAGGAGGAAGGAACACAAAGAAAGTAAGTGTAAATATGTGTGTACCTCAAGTTCATGCTCATGTAATGCTTTTCTGAAACTGTAGAATATACCAAGATGTGTTACTAATGCCAAAAAGCCAGATGCTAATTAATATATATGATATATTGCCATTCCAATGGGAAGGAAAAAATATGTGTATGTACAGCACACTCAGCAGCAGCAGCAGCTGCAGCATCTCTGGGAGATTGTTAAGGAACAATACATTGGTTGCCTCCAGGCAGTTGCCTCCAGGCTTGGTGACTGATGCACAGAGGAGGGGAGGACCCGTACTTTTCACTGTATATGTACACTTTTGTACCCTTGAAATGCTATACCATGCATTTGAATAATCTGTTCAAACAACGGATAAGAGTCTGTGAGAGAGAACGGTTTCTATTAGCAGACTATTTAGGGTAAGAATTAAAAACCCATGTCGATGGAAAATCTTCATTGCTAATCCCCCCATTTCCATCCTGACCAACAAAGGGCCTCATGCCCTGGCAGAGCCTTGTGGGGAGAATGTTCTGTTTTTTTGCCAACTTGTTGAGACAGTTATTTTTCCAAAATAATAAATGGACACTTGACATCCCCAAGAGCATCTTTAGTCATGTGACTTTATCAGTAGGATGAGGACCCAAAGTAGTGGAAAAGGAGCAAGGCACCATTTTGGAACTCTTCTCATGGTCTCCCCTCCTCTCTTCTATCTGATCCCTGGCTTTGTGAGTGTCTGATCCCCAGGCTGGTCACAAAGGGGATGACTGCTGAGCTGTCACAGGGTATGGTGGGCGTGGATGTCCCATGGGAACAGTGAGTGGGGCTGGGGTTGGGTGGAGAATGGAACCTCTTATTGGGTGAAGGAGACTAGAGGAGTCCATGGACAATTTTCTGTCCCAGCCAGTCCTGGTCTCTTTTCCTTCCCCCAGAAGGACGCCCCTATTCAAATACTATTTGCTTTACACAGAAATTGGCCAAGGTGTTCTCCCATCTTTGGAAATATCACCACTTGCTATGACAGTGAGTGACTTCTCCATGACAGTCATACTGATACCAGCCATTCCTCCCTCCCTTTCTCAGGGCCATGGAAGCCCAGAATGAAATACATACCAAAGAGAAGGAGAAGCTGATTGATAAGATTCAAGAAATGCAGGAGGCCAGTGACCACTTGAAGAAACAATTTGAAACTGAAAGTGAAGTCAAGAGTAACTTCTGGCAGGAAGCATCTCGGCTCACTTTGGAAAACAGGGTGAGAAGTCTTCTAACTTGGTGATGGAGACTGTCTGTGTGCAAATGATGCTGAAAGGGGGGACGTGCTGCCTAAAGCATATAATTAACATCTATAGACCAAAGGTCCTTCTATCAGAACCGTCTGTTTTCTTATCCCAAAAGACACGTGGTCTCTGAGGTTGGCTTTGGGAAGGCGTTGGGGACTTACAGGCCTCAGAGACTTATAGGCCAGCCTGGGGAGGGTGAAGGAGGAGAGACAGTGAGGTGCAGGCCGTGGTTCCCCAGCACTATCAGTGGACGGCACCATCCAGGATGGAGTCACCATGCTGTGGAACACACTGAGGCTAGCAAGGCCTACGTGTGAGCGCTTTACCCAGCAAAACTCACCCCATATGAGTGCCCATGCTTTCTTCTCAGCGGGTGGCCTTCCCACAATTTTAAGAGTCAAAATGTTCTTCTATGAGATGATCGTGATGTCGATGGAAGGCTTAGCAACTTTTTAAAAGTGTTTAAGGTCTTTTCTGAGTTTTAAACGCCCTTACCAAAATGAAATTGGGTAACCGTACGTCAAGTCCCAGCAATGATTTTGAAATTGTGATGCTGTATGGAACCCGGAAGACTGAGAAGTGCTGAAGTGACAGGTAGGCCACTTTCCTAGGAGCTGAGACCCTCTTGGGCCCCTTCAAGACCTGAGAGCTTCCAAGAGGGTGACCCAGGAGGGCTGACGAGTCCAGTGGGTCAGTGTGGACATGCCCACGTGCCCTTCTCCCCGCTGACAGGGCCCCTATTTCCAATCTCACAGGAAAAGCCTGATGGAGGAAAAACACATTTTGGGTGTCAGGGTTTAACTCTGAAGAATGGTTACATCCAAAAAGAGACATTCCAGGAGTTTAACATTTAATAGGAAGTAACAAATTCCAATCAGTGGCACCTACATGATGGCTGTCTTTTCTGAGGTGGATATGACTTTCTCGGAGACTGGAATCCTCATATTACACCAGAGAAGCAACCACCTGCTGTCCATGTGTGTGAGGCTGCCTTGCCTTGCCTTCTGTGGGCCCCTGGGATCTCAGTGGAGCCAGTGGTCAGGGAGAAGCTACATGGGTGGGTCATGCGTGTGCTGCGCATGTCATCCCACTTGATCCTTTACTCTGACTGTCCCAGTGCATTGTGATTTATGAGTTCGTTCCTGGTGCCCCAGAGCACAGCCCGGTCCTGGTGCCCTCTTCTGGAGCTCCTCTGAGTGTCTGGCTCTGCTCCCCAAAGGTGCGCTGAGCTGGGGAGCCGACAGGCCTGACATGTTCATTTCCATAGCTCTTTCTGAACCCGGAGTAGCCTCACGGTTACATATAAGCAGAGGGACATACAACAAGAGTATCATCTCTATACATTAGCCGGCGGATTCTACCCACAGATGAGACCTGATCTGTATTAGTTTGCCAGGGCTGCCGTGACAAATGACCACAAACCAGGTGCCTTAAAACAACAGAAATGTGTTCTCTCCATTATGGAGGTCAGAAGTCTGAAGTCAAGGTGTCAGCAGGGCACACTCCTCCGAAGTCTCTAAGCAAAACCCGTCCTTGCCTCTCCCAGCTTCTAGAGGGCTCCAGGTCTTCCTTGGTTTGGGGCAGTGTGACTCCAGCCTCTGCCTCACTGCACCTGGCCTTCTCCCTGTCTGTCTCTGTGTTCTTTTCTGTCGGTTATAAGGACATCTGCATTGGATTTACAGCCCACCCTAAATTGTAGTAGCCATCTCTCATATTGACTCTCAGCTTACCACAGCTGCAAGGACCCTATTTCCATATAAAGTCACCACATTCTGGAGTTTGAGTTGGACATGAATTTCAGGGTGACAGTGTTCAAGCCACTATGTGATGCTTTGAGTCAAAGAAAAATTTTTTTTGCCGGGCGCGGTGGCTCAAGCCTGTAATCCCAGCACTTTAGGAGGCCGAGACGGGCGGATCACGAGGTCAGGAGATCGAGACCATCCTGGCTAACACGGTGAAACCCCGTCTCTACTAAAAAATACAAAAAAACTAGCTGGGTGAGGTGGCGGGTGCCTGTAGTCCCAGCTACAGGGGAGGGTGAGGCAGGAGAATGGCGTAAACCTGGGAGGTGGAGCTTGCAGTGAGCTGAGATCCGGCCACTGCACTCCAGCCCGGGCGACAGAGCAAGACTTCGTCTCAAAAAAAAAAAAAAAAAGAAAAATTTTTTTTTCCAGACTCTTTTGTCACTGAAAAGGAAATTCTTATTAAGAGATTAAAAAAAAAAAAAACTTTTAGTAATAATTTCACTATTTATCAAAGAAATTCAAAATTAAAACTAGGTATTATTTTTGCCTGTCAAATTAGCAGAGATCTGGGCCTGGCACAGTGGCTCATACCTGTAATCCCAGCACTTTAAGATGTCATGGCAGAAGTATGACTTGAGGCCAGGAGTTCAACCAGCCAGGGCAATGTAGCAAGACCCCATCTCTACAAGGAAAACTTTTTTTTTTAACTAGCCAAGTGTGGTGGTGCATGCCTATAGTTCTAGCTACTCAGGAGGCTGAGGCAAGAGGACTGCTTGAGCCCAGGAGGTTGAGGCTACAGTAAGCTATGATCACACTACTGCACTCCAGCCTGGGTGACAGAGCAAAACCCTATCTCTAAAAATACTACTACTAATAATAATAATAATTAATAGAGATGCTGCTGGAGAGAACATCTTGAAATGGGCACTGTCATACATGGTTGCTGGGAATATAGATTGGTATAAACTTTCTTAAGGGCTTATTTGAAGGTATGGCTCATGAACCTTTGGAAAGTACATTCCCTTTGACTCAGTAACACAACTTGTAAGGTTCTATCCTAAGTAAATACTTGAACATGTGGACCAAGATTTTTGTTCAGAGTGATCATCATAGTGTTAATAATCAGAGAGAAAAAAAAAAGCAACCCAAAGGAATCAAATGCATATCTAACAATAGAGCAAAGGTTAAATTGTTGTATGATATAGTATGACTTGGCTGTTAAAATGATGGTTTGGGTATATTATCAATGACATGGGAAAATGTCTGCAGTATAACTAGAGAAAAATGTAGGATTTGAAATTTTGCATGTAATATGATCCCAATTTTATAAAATGTACATTCACCATATTGGGAAAAAAGGAATGAAATCAATATGTTAAGAGTGGTTTTTTTCCTGAGTTATGGGTTGATGGGTGACCCATTTTATTAGATATATTATAAGATGGGCTTGAATTGGAGGGAAGAAGCTCTACTGACACCTCCACTTCTAAAGTCCATAGAGTTCCTAACATGTCTAGCCAGGGACACAGAATGGTGGCAGGGAGAGAGGTGGCCACACAGAGTAGAAACAGCACAATGTCCCTTGGCCCCAAGAGTCCTTAGAGGGCACACAGCTGCAGTGACCCTGCATGGTGGGTCTTTCTGGGTCAGAGAAGCCTGAGTTCTATATGTGTCAAAGGCTCAGATCTGAAAGAACTTAAACACTGTATGTCCTTTATAGGAAGTATTTCTAGGTATCCAAGGACTCTCCTGGTTCTGGAACCAAATTCAGCATGGGCAAGGCCACCTCCTTATCAGGAAGGAAAGGTAAAACCAGGCCCAAATCTCTGAACATTTCTCTGGCTCCAGCTTCTGACATCTAGAAAGCCCATTTTCTCACATTCATATTTTTAAATTCTCTATGATGGGCATTCCTATGTAATAAGAGCAAGATAAATGTAGTGCATGCATACAATAGGATATTATTCAGCCATAAGAATATGTGAAATGCTGATACTTGCTTACGGCATGGATGAATTTTGAAAACCTTATGCTAAGCGAAAGAAGCCAGACATACAAAAAACCTATTCTATGAATTTATTTATATGAGATGCCCAGAATAGGCAAATCCGTAGAGACAGAAAGTAGACGAGTGGTTGCTAGGTGCTGGAAGGGTATGAGGAACTAGAGAGTGACACTAAAGGTTAGTTTTCTTTTTGGAGTAACAAAATGTTCTGGAATTAAATGGTGATCGTAGCACAACTCTTGACTACCCTAAAAAAACCTTTGAGTTTACACTTTAAGTGGGTGAGTTGTACAGTATGTGAACAGTATTGTAGCTCAATAAAGCTGTTACCAAAAAAGAAAAAAAAATAGATTAAAGTGCTTCTAAGCTAAATCCTGGTTTCTTTTTATTGCTGTAGGATCTTGAAGAAGAATTAGACATGAAGGACAGAGTGATTAAAAAGCTACAAGATCAAGTCAAGACACTAAGCAAGACAGCTGGAAAAGGTAAGAAACAATACTTGTTTTCTTATTCTTTTGAGCTAAGGCTAACATGCACTCGTTTATTTTCTCTCTGGTCCAAAGCTTATGAAACCCAAAGGAATGATTCTCAAGTGGTAAGGTTTGGGACCTAGTGCGGGGCTAACGAAAAGATCCTTTGGGACAAGAAGACAGCTCCCTCCCGCTCAGATGATACCAGATACGTTGATGTACCTGCAAGAGACATCCTATAATTAATACATGAGCCTCTTCCTCTGTTAGCTCCCTTTTTTAAAAAATGAAATTGTGAACAAGTTTTCAATTAACTGCTTGAAATTCACCTTCTCTCCCTGTTACATATGTAGGATTAGTTAGTATCCAAATTTCTATTAGAAAAGTAGAGAGCTAAGAAGCAGACATCCTGAACATGGACTGCACTGCACACGTAAAGCATCCTTGTGAGCCTCTGTGAAAGGGACGCTCAGCCCTTCATCCCTCCTTCTGTTTCCATCACTGAACTTTGCCTGTGTTCAGCTCCTGCTCACATTTCTCACTCTTTCATTCCTTATTACTTTTTCCTCTTCCTCCCAGCCTTATTGCCAAGGCTGTGTCTTGTTTGTTCCTTTTTCTATATTCACCTCTTTGAAGAGCAGCTTTATTCTTACTTACCCAACTCTCACCTCAAATTTGAAATGTCCACAAGCAAACTCAGGATCCTTTTCCTTCAGTAATAAATGACAAATGGCAGTCTGCCCCATGAGAGCAGGGCCCAGGTCTGTGCTTCCAGCCCCCGCTGCATCCCCACTGTTGGGATGAATGAACCACCATTCACCACCCTGGCTCACCTTTCAGACTTCTGACCTCCAGAGCTGTACGAGTAAACATTTGTGTTGTTTTAAGCCTCTGTGTTTGCAGTAACTTTTTACAGCAGCCATGGGAAACTAATACAGCCCTCTCAGTAAGGATCATGCACACTGGTACTTTGCACACCAAATGTTTCACGAGTCTTCTTTCACAGTAGCATCGGCATCTTGAAGACAAAGCAATATCTAGGATTTCTTTCCTGTTACCATGTGCTGGATACATATCAGGCACTCATAAGGCTCTTCAAAGGATAACTGGGCCTTTTCAGCAGCAGCTGTACTCACTCATGTACTCACAAAGAGGAATCACTACTTGGAGAAATTCTTCAGGATACAATACAGTACAGTTTTAATGTATCTGAAAGCCACAGACATTTACGTGCAAACCAGCCAGAATGGGGTAGGAGAGTAGTCACATTATGAGACCTGTGAAAGCTGCTTTTGTGTATTCAGCTGATTGTTTGCCTCTGTCTACAGCCAATGATGTGCACTCGTCCTCAGGACCTAAGGAGTACCTTGGAATGCTGCAATACAAGAGAGAAGATGAGGCCAAGCTCATTCAGAACCTCATTCTTGGTACTGAAACCTGGAACTCTGGATTTTTGCTTTCTCTTTGAGAATCTGCACATCAGTCAGTGCCAAAGTCCTGGGCAGGGGTGGTCCTTTTTCTACTTTCTTCTTCCACTGCTTCTTACCCCAGCCCAGAGTTTCTCAACCTCAGCACTGTTGACCTGTTAACTCTGCGAATGGTGAGTAACAAAGGATGGAGCAGCATCCTTGACTTCTACTCGCTAGAAGCCAGCAGCAACCCCTAGTGATGACAATAAAAGATGTCTCCAGGTATTGCCGAATGTCCTGTGGGGGCCAAAACTGTCCTCAGTTGAGAACCATTGCCCTGACCTTTTCCAAATTGTAGGACCAGGGTAGAAAAGAAACATCACCTCATTTTTGTGACTCAGCACAGAAGCCATCATGGAAGTAATTGCGGCTCTGAGCTCCATTTGACTTCCGAGAAATTTCTCTGCAGCAATGTGATGGGGCTTCCCAGCCATGCCTCAGTTACAGGAATGTCCCATGTGCATGCTCAAGATCTGGTGGTCATAGAAACAATCTTACTGCACTGTCTTCACTGTGACCTTCCATGTGGTTTTCTGGCATCGGGAGAAAAATCTGCCTCCCTGTCAGCTGGCCCCAAGATCTCAAAACACAAAGCCAGCATGTAGCCTTCCTTCCTCTTCTGCGAGTGAAACCCCTCAGCTCATGTGAGCACCCCCACCCTTTTCTTTCCCCCCATCACTGGCGTCATACAGTGTGAACCTCTTCTTTGTGCTTCTGTCTTCATGCAGCCAGGGGGACGTCCTTGTTTGCTTATTCTTAACTTTTTTTGTAAGGTTTCTCTCTCCCCTTCATCCCCACTGTGCGTCTCCGCCGCTCTCTTCTCCCCAAGGCCAGCTAGACATCCTCTGCTGCACTGGTGTGTGCCTGCTTTCCCTATTCAAGGCAGCTTCATGTGACTGCAGACACTGTACTCCATTCTCATCAAAGAGCTTGGAGTAGGGGTGCATGGAACTGGAGTTCCTTTCTTACAATTGGGGTCTGAAATCCAGAGTTTCCACACCAGGGAAAAACAAAGATTCTGTCTCTTGTTCAACCTTTTAAGAAAGAGAAAGTCCTTTGTAAACAAAAAGAGGAACAAGTGGCACCTGTGTATTTTGTGACAAGAAAGGAGCCAGATGGAATTCCTCAAAGAGGAAATAAATCCATATACATTCAGGCACCGCATCAAGCACAGAAAAGCAAACAAGCCCCTGCCCCTAGTCACAGGTTCCTTAGGAGAAGAGCTGACCTGTCAGCTGTAATCCTCATTGGCTGTCTCTGCTTCAGACTTGAAGCCCCGTGGCGTGGTGGTGAACATGATCCCCGGGCTGCCGGCTCATATCCTGTTCATGTGTGTGCGCTACGCAGACTCTCTGAATGATGCCAACATGCTGAAGTCCCTCATGAACAGCACCATTAATGGCATCAAGCAGGTGGTTAAGGTAGGAAGTGCCTTTGACATTGGCCCTTGGTATCACATCTATGGGAATGACCAGATGCCCAGTCTTTGCCCCTCCTGAGCCTCCCGTGTGTGGTGAGACGCCTCATTCCTCCCTCCCCACTATTGAAGGGAGCCACACTGTTAGGAAAAGATAAATGGATGAGCAACTGCCATAGCCCTCAAAGCCTTACCGGCGAGACTGCAACCTGGTAGCCACTGCCCCCACCACTGCTATCCCCTTAGGGTGTGAACTTATCAGCTGTGAGGGGTATATGTTCTATCTCTGTAACAAGGGTAAATCATGAGAAATGAAAAGGAATGAAAAATTACTCCTCTCTTCCCTTGGCAATTATATAATTCTTCTTCCTAAAAGCACATTGTGTATTTTTATTCCTAGTCCACAAATGAAGATGAACTGTGTATTAGTTAGGTTAGTTACTTAGTAAAGTTAAGCTATTGTAGCTACAAGACACCTGCCACCTCCCTTTGCCCAATATACAGTTTCTTAAAGAAGATGGAGGATTGTTCTTTGCTGATAGCAGTTCCATAATGAGCCATCTAGGTTGGAAGGTGGCTCTGTTCTATATGATCATGCAGGGACCCAGGTTCCTTCCAACTTGCTGTTGTCCATTCCCTAAGTCAGTGTCCTTATTGGAATGATTGGACAAGCAGGCAGCCAGCAGTTTACCACTGGGCGAGAGGGAACCTACCATAGGACATAGACCATGTGTGTATGGTGTACGTATCAGAAGTCACCAACTGAACTCTTATGAGCAATCATCTCTTCATGGTGTGACAAGTAGATAATGATCAAAAATGACAATGACAAAGGGCGGGATTTTGTGAAGGCTAACTTAACAGTAACACAAAGTTTATTGCTAATTTCCTTTCCAACTGAAACATAATCCTAAAATCATTCTTAGCATGCTGATTATTTTTCCTGGAAACTCCATAAATGATCAATGAGTAAATAACTGTATCTAAGCGTTGAAGATTTTTGTAAACAGACCTGGATCCTTGCTTACAGGGATAGTTACTTTGTAAAAAGAGTTCTCTGGTAATGCTTAGCGCATGCTGGAATCTTGGGTGTGGGTAGGGTGGTTGACTTAGTTCTAAGCCAGACCTGATGCTACCCTGAGTGTGGAAATTCCATTTGCCACAGTGGAGTTAGTACAAAAACCTTCTCTCTTTCTAGGAAATGACCAGTTTACAGTTATGTTAAAAAGTACTCGTTTCTGGGAATTACAATGTACTGATCCATATTGGAAGGGGGCAAGAAGACATAAGTAACACTAAAATAACTGTTTTTCATGCCCCTCCAAAAGAGAAGTGATGTTCGATATTAGGATATATGTGAATTTTTAATTAGGGAGATCCTAACTTATTTTTAGTAAAATATGTGTTCTAAAGAGTAATGAGGAATTAAATTCTTTTAAATACTCTAGGGAAGGTCAGGTGTGGTGGCTCACACCTGTAATCCCAGCACTTTGGGAGGCTGAGGCAGGTAGATCACTTGAGCTCACGAGTTCAAGACCAGCCAGGGCAACATGATGAAACCCTGTCTCTACGAAAAAGACAAAAATTGGCCAGGTGTGGTGGTGTGTGCCTGTAGTCCCAGCTACTCAGGAAGCTGAGGTGGGAAGAACACTTGAGCCCGGCAGGCAGAGGTTACAGTAAGCCAAGATCACACCACTGCACTCCAGCCTGGGTGATAGAGCCAGACCTTGTCTCATAAATAAATAAATAAACTCTAGGAAGAAAGAAACATAAAAACTAGATTTGTGAGATGTCATAGTATAGTAATTCTCCTCTGCTTCCAAAAAGTATCATGAATTCATTATTTATCTGGAGTTAGGAATAGAAAATTCACATTTGTTTGGTGCTGGATACTTTATAGTCACCGTCTTCACAGGAGCCACCAAAGTGTTTTTGGAAGGGGCTCCCATAAATTGATGTTTTCCTCCTGTCCATATTTGCATAAATTGGCTTTTCTTAAGACAAGCTGGTATTGTGTTCCAGCACAGGACACAGAGTATTTGCCTCCCCTTGATGCTCTGGGGTGTTTAGCCAAATATTCATAAACCAAGAGACGCATGGCATGAGGACTGTAAGACCCCTTTCTCACCAGCATCTTCAGTCTCAACTTCTCCGTGGCCCCCTCCCACTGCCTTTGCATGTGCCCAGGACCTGCCCCTCCCCACCTCCAGCACACAGCAGTTACAGCGATGTGCCCACATACCCTCTTTAGCCACTGTTCCTTTCCCTCCACTCCGGACTGCCAAAGTGCTTAAACTAGTGGTCTCCACCAGTTCTCTTTGTCACTCCTTGCAATCTGGCTTCTAACCCATCACTCTACAGATAGATCACCAGTAATTCCTCTTACTAAAACCAGCGGTGTTTCTTTACTTTTTATTCTCTTTAAATTGACCAAAGCATTAGCACCATCTCCTTGAAAGCTTCCTCCCTTGTCTTTTAAATCCCAGGATTTTCTCTGTTTTCCTCTTCCCCCTCTGATCACTGTACCTCTGCCTTCGCTGCTTGTTCCTCTTCTTCCTGCCCTGTAAGTGGAGGCCTTCTCCCCAGCAGTCCTAGTCCTGAGCTCTTGTCTCTCCACCCATTTCCCTCAAGGGCTAGACCTCCTGCCTCTCTGAGGTTTCCTCAGCTGCTCTGCCTCCCCATCCTCTCTCTCCATCCCCTGAGCTTTGTAGCACAGTCTACAACCATTGTGTGGGTACTTGACCACCTACTAAACTCTGTCCTATCTATCTTCCCAGTGAGAATGTGAACTTAGGAGAGCAAGAAGTGAAACTTACACTGCTCATGCATTCCTTCAAGGCCGCTTCAACTTCATAATGAGCGACACAACCTGTACAGAAACATGTTACAAACTGTGACCTAAATAAATATAAGCTCTTATCATTATAGTATGAATTAGATAAAGGCTTTAGTGAATAAAAGAAAAATTAATTTTGGTCAAAAGCTACAAATAACCAAACAGGTAAGATGCTCAGAGGTACAAATAATAATTAAGTCCAATTCTGTCTTTTCTTATTTTTCTAAGGAACATTTAGAAGACTTTGAAATGCTGTCCTTTTGGCTTTCCAACACTTGCCATTTTCTCAATTGCCTGAAGCAGTACAGCGGAGAAGAGGTAGGGGGCGCTCACCTGCTTGTTTTGTGCTGACAGCCAGTCTAGAACCGCCTGAGCCAGAGCTCAATAGAGCCTCTATTCTCTTCACCCAGGAGGCCAACAGCGCATTATCTGTTGGACTCTTGGGTATACACCACAGGCAAGAGACTTCTGGAAGCAGCTTAGATTTTGGGCACGGTACTAGGCCTCCTAGGTTTCCATTACTTTTATATCAATAGGTAGATAAGACGAATTTTAAGTTTCCTCCTGGTTGTAAGACGTTTAGCATTATGACTCCAAAATACAGCCCTTGGTTTAAAATGCCTGTTTCTTCACAGCTGTTCTCTCTACAGGACCCTGACTGTTCCTCCATAATCTATAAATATGTTTCCTTTGCCATTCCGACTCTGCTTCCAGGAGGCTGATGTCATAAAAGAGTTCTCCACCTTCAAGTACTTGCAGAGAAAAATTTCATTGAACTAAAATAACAAAGTGGCTTTCAGGGTTTTCAGTGCTCTCTAAAATGGCTGTACCATTTCACAGCCCCACCGGCAGTGTATGATGTTTCCGGTGTCTCATACCTTCACCAACACTTGGTATTGACAGACATTCTTATCCTTTACCAGTGTCAGGGTATAAAATTATATCTTGTTGACTTAAATTGCATTTATTTGGTCACTAGCGAAGTCAAGCATAATTTTATATGTTTATTGGTCATTTGGGTTTCCTTTTGAATTGCCTAGTCACATCCTTTCTTTCTTTTTCTTAGGGTTGGTGTTTTTGTTATTGATTTGTAGGAGGTCTTTATATCATATGGATAGACTGTAGCTTCACTTCTAATTTTCTTTATGAAGTCCCTTGTCACACAGTTTTTGAATTTCGATATGCTTAAATCTGTCAAACCTGTTCTTTTATGATTTGTGTCTTGTTCAGAAATTCTTCCCCGCCCTGAGATCATGAAGATACTCTCTTCTAAACTATTGTAGTTCACCTTTAGAGTTGACAATTATGTTTTTACCTATCCAAAATTGATATGTAAGGTAATGATCTAATATCCTCTTCCATAAAGATAAACAGTTGTCCCAATGGAAAGAAGGTAAAATAAAATATAACAGTAATCTGACTAGTACTATAGAACAAAAGGAGAAGTAAAGAAAATCCAACCTCTGACTAAAAAGAATACCAAAACAGGAGGAGGCACAGACTAGTCCATTTCCAGCAAACTGGTATCTGGGAGACATTAGTGGAAGAATGCCTTATTCAGCACTGTTTTATGATCCTTTCTTTGCCCCCTTCAGCCATGTATAGAATGTTCTTTTCCCTGTCTGACTGCTTTTTCAGTTACCATATTTTTATTTCTAAAATCTCTCTTGTTCCTTTTCACCTCTGCCTCTTACCACAATGTCCTATTCTTTTTTTTCTCTCTTTCTTTTTTGAGATGGGGTCTCACTCTCTCACCTAGGCTGGAGTGCAGTGGCATGATCTTGGATCACTGCAACCTTCGCCTCCCATGTTCAAGCAATTCTCCTACCTTAGCCTCCTGAGTAGCTGTGGCTACAGGCATGCACTACCATGCCCAGCTAATTTTTGTATCTTTAATAGAGATGGGGTTTTACTATGTTGGCCAGGCTGGTCTTGAACTCCTGACCTCAAGTGATCCGCCTGCCTCAGCCTCCCAAAGTGCTGGGATTACAGGCGTGAGCCACCATGCCCAGCCCCATAATGTCCTATTCTTAATTTTTTCTTTTTCTTTAGTCTCTTTGAACATGTTAAACATATTCCATTAGTTCACTTAGGCTACTATAACAAAATACCGCAGGCTGGGTGGCTTCAACAAGAGATTTATTTCCTCAGAGTTCTGGAGGCCAAACATCTGAGATCAGGGTGCCAGCATGGTCACTTCCTGGTGAGGGCTCTCTTCCTGGCTTGCTAACAGCCACTTTCTCCATCCCTGTGTCCTCACAGGACCTTTCCTGGGTGCATGGGTCAGGGAGAGGGAGAGAGAGGGCAAGCTCTCTCTGGTGTCTCTTCTTATGAGGACACCAATCTTATTAGATCACGCCACTATCCTCATGACCTCATTTAACCTCATTACCTCCCTAAAGGCCCCATCTCCAAATACAGCCACACTAGGGGGTTAGGGCTTCAACGTATGATTTTTAGGAGGACACATTCAATCCATAACACACACTTTAAAATATTTCAACTTTGTACCCTATAATTATCAGGTTATGAATCTCATTTATTGTATCCACTTACCTCTTCGTAGCACTGTGTTTCCTTGGATGCTCTGCAGTTTTGTTTCATTTTCCTATACGCTTCCATGGGCTTTCTATGAGCTTTTCCACTTAGTCTGTAGGTTCCAGGGACAATGTTTGTAGGGAAGTGGGTAGGACAATGATAGTGTGACAGACTGGGATCATATAGGAAATCAGTGCAATTTTTCTCTTATAGAAGGTACATGCTACCCCAAGCATCATGAACTCATTTGATATAAATCAGACATTAAGTTTTAAGGTAAAAGAGTTATAGTAGCTGATTATTAATTTCCTACATGTTTGTATTATTCTAATACTTTGTTTAAAATTACTTTTAGGAATTCATGAAGCATAATAGTCCACATCAGAATAAGAATTGCTTGAACAATTTTGACCTTTCAGAATACAGACAGATTCTCAGTGATGTGGCTATACGAATATATCATCAATTTATTATCATAATGGAAAAGAATATCCAACCAATAATAGGTAAGAAGAGAACTGATCACCAAAAAATATTTATAGTAACATTAAGACTTTTTAAAACATAAACTTGGTATGTGTAATGTGTGATTATGTGTAACATTGTTTAAAAAGTCAAGGAAATATAATCATGTATCTACCTTTTAATTCTTTGCTTGCTTAAAATGATACCATAAATAATAGTACGCTGTTAGTAACTTTCTTTCTGTAAGGATGATTTATCCTGAAGGAAAAAACTTGGGGAAACTTCTACTACTGCTATTATATGTGGTACTTCTACTTCTTGGCTTAGCCAAGTATTTTTGAAATCCTAAAGCCCCATTCGAATTCTTGTATACTTTCCTTAATTTCCTGAAATTTAAATACTTTAGGCTTTAATGCCCAGGCCATGAGTTGTCACGCTAACCGCCTTTCTTTCCTGTGAGGCTGAAAAACGTGCTGCTTCAAACCTAGAAGACAAGCTGCAGCCCCGCTGGAAACAACCGTCCGTTCCTACCCCCGACACACACCCTGCTGTCCCAAACCCTTGATTCTTTTGCTTTCTCTATCACAAGTACATTCAGTGACTCTTGTAGAAAAATGTCCCATCTCCGCCGGGGGCGGTCGCTCAAGCCTGTAATCCCAGCACTTTGGGAGGCCCAGACGGGCAGATCACGAGGTCAGGAGATCGAGATCATCCTGGCTAACACGGTGAAACCCCGTCTCTACTAAAAAATACAAAAAAATACCTGGGCAAGGTGGCGGGTGCCTGTAGTCCCAGCTACTCGGGAGGCTGAGGCAGGAGAATGGCGAGAACCTGGGAGGCGGAGCTTGCAGTGAGCTGAGATCCGGCCACAGCACTCCAGCCTGGGCGACAGAGCGAGACTCCGTCTCAAAAAAAAAAAATAAAAGAAAAGAAATATGTCCCATCTCCTGAAACAAACAGAAGAGCGTCGGGAACGTTCCGTGTGTCTCTCCTGGTGTGTCAGCACAGCCTCCCCGTCTCTCCGCAGTGCCAGGCATGCTGGAGTACGAGAGCCTGCAGGGCATTTCCGGCCTGAAGCCCACAGGCTTCCGGAAGCGCTCCTCCAGCGTAGACGACACGGACGCCTACACCATGACCTCCGTCCTGCAACAGCTGAGTTACTTCTACACCACCATGTGCCAGAACGGCCTGGACCCCGAGCTCGTGAGGCAGGCGGTGAAGCAGCTCTTCTTCTTGATCGGGGCGGTCACGCTGAACAGCCTCTTCCTGCGCAAGGACATGTGCTCCTGCAGAAAAGGGATGCAGATCAGGTAAAACTCATAAACCGCCACTCACGCAGAGAGGCCGGCGGAAAAGATACTCTTAAAGACCGAGGCCACACACGCCTGACCCTCCTTGCTGTGGCGTCAAACCCCTGTTTAGGCCCTGCTGCTGTAAGGATATTCGAGTCACCCTAAGAACCCCGGGATGCTGGCGCCCAGGGCCTACTCCCCTCGCGCCACACCCTGCCAATTTGATACGCTGGCCTAGCCGCTTTAACCGAGAACCAGTAAATGTGTATCTTAAATTCTGGCCCTCTAGGGTGGTCATGCACTCAACCAGTAGTGACCACCTTCTCTGAATAGCACTGCCAGGTGGAGAACACAGGAAACAAGGAAAAGTCGATAAGATCCCTGCCTTTGAGAAGCTTCTGAATAGCTAAATAATAATTAAAGGCAACTATGATTAAATCACAAACAAGTGGTGCAGGAAATGTATCAGAGAGGAGAGAGATTACAGATGGAACAGTTGGGGAAGCCAGAGAGTTGTGCCTTGAGTGATAAAGGAAACGGAGAAGAACGTTCCAAGCAGGAGTAATGGTCAGAGGCATTGTGGGGAGTGACTGAGAACCCCTGCTCAGGCTGCTTGTGGAGTAAGCAGAGGCTGGTGTGGGGAGCAGCAGGACCAAGGTAAAGAGGTAGGTTGAATCTACACTGGGAGGGTCTGGAATGCCAGGCTAAGGCATTTGGAGTTCATCCCGAAGACTTGGTAATCTAGTTTTGAGGTGTGTCTACTATCTCTTAATTGAGAGACCATGGTCCCTGAGCTACTATTTGAATTAACACTGATCAAGTGATTGGAAAACACGTAATATAGGATAGATATTTAAGTTTCTTATGGTGTGTGCAGAAATTTGATACCTGTATCTGTTATGAGAACCTGGGGTAGTGATGATGGTAATGATGTAAGGGAAGGTGACAAAGAAAGTATCTATCATTATGCTACGTGAAATAAGCCAGGCACAGAAAGACAAACATCAGATGTTCTCACTTATTTTGTGGGAGCTAGAAATTAAAACAATTGAATTCATAAAGATGGAAAGTAGAAGGATGGTTACCAGAGGCTGGGAAGAGTAGTGGGGGGCTGGGGAGAGGTGGAAATGGTTAATGGTTACAAAAAAGATAGAAATAATGAATAAGACCTACTATTTGATAGCACAACTGGGTGACCGTAGTCAATAATAACTTAATTGTATATTTTTAAATAACTTAGAGGCTGGGCGGAGTGGCTCACGCCTGTAATCCCAGCACTTTGGGAGACCGAGGTGGGTGGATCACCTGAGGTCAGGAGTTTGAGACCAGCCTGGCCAACATGGTGAAACCCCTCTCTACTAAAATTACAAAAATTAGCTGGGCGTGGTGGCACGTGCCTATAATGCCAGCTACTCAGGAGGCTGAGGCAGGAGAATTACTTGAACCCCGGAGGCAGAGGTTGCAGTGAGCCGAGGTTTCAGTGAGTCGAGATCACACCATTGCACTCCAACCTGTGTGACAGAGCAAGACTCTGCTCTATCCTGCTCTAAAATAAATAAATAATTAAAAAGATAAAATAACTTGGAGTGTCATGGATTGTTTGTAACTCAAAGAATAAATGCTTGAGGAAACAGATACCCTATTCTCCATGATGTGCTTATTTCACATTGCATGCCTGTATCAAAACTTTTCATGGGCCAGGCACAGTGGCTCACGCCTGTAATCCCAGGACTTTGGGAGGCTGAGATAGGCAGATCATTTGGGGTCAGGAGTTTGAGACCAGCCTGAGCAACATGGTGAAACCTCCATCTCTACTAAGAATACAAAAAAATTAGCTAGACCTGGTGTTGTACACCTGTAATCTCAGCTACCCATGAGGCTGAGGCAAGAGAATCACTTGAACTGGGGAGGCAGACATTGCAGTGAGCTGAGATCACACCTCTGCACTCCAGCCTGGGGAACAAAGCGAAACTCCATCTCAAAAAAAAAAAAAAAAAAAAATTCATGTACCCCATAAATATATATACCTACTATGTACCCACAAAAATTTTTTTTAAATTTAAGTATCTTAAGTCAAAAACTAAATGTGAGAGGCATCCCTTACACCTTTTTAGCATTAGTGAAACTTTGGAGTTGGAGTCAATCCCCATAGACCATTCCCACAAATTCCCATGACAGCAGGGCATGGTTTTCAGATAGGAAGGGGTATTCAGAAGGACTAGTCTTTGCAGATCTTTATGTCTTAAGAAATGAAAGAGTTATGTTTATTTCACAAGCTCCAAACAGATATCCTGTAGCCCTCTGTAGCTGGTTTCAGCCCTAAAGTAAAGCCACATCAGAGCCTTTCTTAAACTCAGTTCTCACTCCATCAGTGGATCCCCCAAGACTGAGTAGAGACATGAATGAAAAGGATCATGAGGGAGATCCATGACTCTAGGTCTTAGAACAACTTCTTTGAGGATAAACACCTGCCCCCCAGGTACCCGGTACTTTTTCCCTTCCACCAGGTGGAAGTGGCCATCAGAGAAGTAATGCTTTGATAGTGTTTTGCTCTGAGGAGCACGTGCATTTTAGTGGCTTTCATTTAGTCATTTGGATATTTGTTAATTGCCCACCGCAGCAAGACCTACAAAGAATTTGCAGTGGCTTTACAGTGAAAACAGAAGCAATAAAATAATAAAATATGAACCCAAGTAGAAAACTAGAACCGGCCAGGCACGGTGGCTTATGCCTGTAATCCCAGCACTTTGGGAGGCTGAGGTGGGCGGATCACAAGGTCAGGAGATCGAGACCATCCTGGCTAACACGGTGAAACCCCATCTCTACTAAAACTACGAAAACATTAGCCAGGCGTGGTTGTGGGCACCTGTAGTCCCAGCTACTCGGGAGGCTAAGGCAGGAGAATGGCGTGAACCCGGGAGGCGGAGCTTGCAGTGAGCCGAGATTGCACCACTGCACTCCAGCCTGGGTGACAGAACGAGACTCGGTCTCAAAAATAAAAAAGAAAAGAACACTAGAACCAAAGAAAATTAAAATGTAAATAGCAGGCAGAGTAGCTTGAAAACTGGCTCTGGGCTTCCTGGATGCCAGGACAAAAAGCAAAACATGATCAGCTCTTTAGTTTTATTGGGTATCATGAAGCAGAGTGATTCCTGGGAAGATACAAAGATTTTTTCCTAGTACCTAATTATTTTTTGTTCCTAGTCACAAATCACAAAACTAATGCCTCACATGGAACATTATCTCATAATCACCGCACTAACATTTTTACAGCAATTTCCATTGTGGCTGCTTTGCCCAGTGTCTCATGGAGACAGTTCTGTTAAAAATTAGAATAATGCAGGCTGAGGAGATCTGGGAGAATAGGAAAGGCACGGATTTGAGTCTTGAAGAACAAGTCAACAGACCAAAGTCAACAGACCAAGAATTATAGAAATGAGCACATGATGAAATGATGGAAAACTGAAGGCAGAATATGAACAGCCCCTTTGAATGAAGCATGCCAGGAATGATGGAAAAATTGGTTAGAAAGAGAGTGGAATGCGAGGGTGAGAAATGCATGGTTTGTTTTTATTGTTTGTTTCTTTGCTTGTTTTGAGATGGAGTCTCACTCTGTGGGTGAGTGCAGTGGTGCACTCCCAGGCTGGAGTGCAGTGATGCAGACTCCGCCTCCAAGGCTTAAGTGATTCTCCCACCTCAACCTCCCAAGTAGCTGGACCCACAGGCGAGTGCCATACCTGGCTAATTTTTTGTATTTTTGCCTAAGACAGATTTTTGCCATGTTGCCCAGGCTGGTCTTGAACTCCTGAGCTCAAGCCATCTGCCTGCCTTGGCCTCCCAAAGTGCTGGGATTGTAGGCGTGAGCCACCGCACCCAGCTGAGAAATGCATCAGCAGAAGCTGCCACTACAGATTTTTTTCTTCAACAGGTTTGAGTTATGAATTCAATTGCTTTAATAGCTGTAGGACTCTTCAGGTTATATATTTGATCTTAGATGAGTTTTGGTAGTTTGTGATTTTCAAAGAATTAGTCCATTTCATCTAATTTGTTGACTTTATGTGCATAGAACTGTTTATAATATTTCCTTGTCATCCTTTTAGTTTCTGCAGGATTGGTAGTGATATTTGTCTTTCATTCCTGATACTGGTAATTTGTGTCTTCTGTTTTTCTATTGGTCAGATTTGCTAGAGGCTTATTAATTGTATTGATTTTTTTCAAAGAACCAGTTTTTTATTTCATTGATTTTTCTTTTCTTTTTTTGAGGTGGGGGTGGTCTCAAACTCCTGGGCTCACGTAATCCTCCAGCCTCAGCCTCCAAAGGAGCTGAGACTACAGGCATGTGCCACCACACCTGGCTAAGTTTTAGAGATGCAGTGTCTCTATATTGCTCAGGCTGGTCTTGAACTCCTGCCCTCAAGTGATTCTCCCACCTCAGCCTCCTGAGTAGTTGGGATAACTGGCATGAGCCACCACACCCAGAATTTTTTGTTTTTAATTTAGTTAATTTCTGAGATTGTCTTTGTCATTTCATTGCTTCCGCTTAGTTTGGATTTATTTTGCTCTTCTTTTTCTAGTTTCTAAAGGGAGAAGCTTTGATTATTGACTTTGAGAACTTTATTTTTTTCTAAGCATGTAATGCTATAGATTTTTCTCTTAGCACTATTTTAGCTCCGTCCTACAAATTTTGATTTTTTTTTCCATTTTTGTTCAGTCCTAAATATTTTCTAATTTTCCTTGAGGCTTACTGTTAGACCCATGGATTATTTAGAAGTATGTTAGCTTCTAAGTGCTTGGAGACTCTCTTGTTATCTTTGTTTTTGATTTTTGGTTTAATTCCATTATGGCCATAGAACATACTTTTTCAGTAAAACTCTTAGAAACAGAAAGGAGAATGGTAGTTAGGGGATTTGGGAAGTGAGAAAAGGAAGTAGCTGTTCAATGAGTATAGAGTTTCGGTTTTATGAGTTGAAAGAGTTCTATAGATCTACTGTATAACAATGTACATATAGTTGACATTA